CCAGCAATGCGCAGCAACTCGTTGTAATTACAATCTAATTTCTTCCCATTACAGGCTGCGTACGGAATTTAGCACCGTTTAAAGAACTTGGGAGATCTGAAGAGCCCGTGTTATTCCACTGCTGAGATCTCAAAGATCAAGGAAAGATGAATAAAATCTACACGTCTTTGGGGATGTCTTTATTTTAACGCTAACTCATTCATGCAGCTGTCTGCAAATGCTCCACAGAATTAATTTGCTTTGCCAGAAGCCTTACGAGCTGGGGATTTGCCCTCTGCTTCCACCCAAAGCAAACGGGGGGGTTCCTCCACCTGCATCCACCTCCATCAGAGCCACCTCTGATTTGCAGACCCCCCCAACTGCATCCCCCTCCACCCACAGCCCTTCCAGCACAGCAGCGCCGTGCTCCCCACCTCCCGCACTGCTCTGCACGGAGCGCATCACCTCTGCTCGCTGCTGGGGCGGCGGAGCTTTCAGCGCCCCGTACCGGGAATGAAACAGGAACACAACCTGCCCTTCCTGGCAACCGCTTGGTGGCATTCTCAGAAGTTTCCACCACTGATATCCGCCCCTCCACACGCGCAGCAGGCTGGGGGCGCCGTCTGTCCCACCGCAACCCAAGGGGTGAGAACGGGAACCCAGCGCCCACGGGGTACAAAGGACACCGGGTCCTGGACGGCCCTGCCGCCCCCACTTGGCGAGCGCTTCCCAGCAGCGCCGCGAGGGCGCGGGGCCGCGCAGCCCCTCGTGCTGCCGGCACGGAGCTTTGCGGAGGGGTCGAGATGCCGGGATGAGGACCACGAGGGGCCGCCCCCCAGCTCCCGGGGCGGACGGCAGGGTTTGTGTGCCGGGCTGCCGGGCCCCGAGATGCGCCGGCTGCCCGGAGAGCATCGCTGTCTGCAGCAGGGAGGTTTGTAAGAGCGCATTGACAAAAGCCATCTGTCAGGAGCGGCGGAAGCGCGGCCAACGCCGCCCTGGGGCAGGAGTTTACTTCTGACCTCTGCGTGTCCCTTCTGGCCCTACTTTACACGACGCTGTGATTTACGCACACGAGAGGAGATGTCATTTCCCGAGACCGTCGCGGCGGGAGCCGCACGGAGCACCGCAGGGCAGAGCGGGGCCGCAGCACCGGGGGGTGCGGGCTTGGTGAGCGCACGTCCTGCCGCAGCACCGCCTCTCGGCCTCCCCCTCCCCGGGCACAAACAGCGCTGCCGACCCGCGCACCAGCGGCGGCAGAAGCCCCGCACGTGGCAGAGAACGGGCGAAAGCTCCGCGGGAGGAGACGCGGCGCTGCGGCGCGCAGCCGAGGCCAGTCGGACGCGGCAGCACCCGGAGCCGTGGGTTCCACCCTCAGCCTCCCCGGCTCCTGCCGTGCACCCACAGCGCACGGAGACCCCGCGGGACCCTCCCGGCTCCTCCCAGCGCCGTCCCCACGCACGCGGCACTTACTGGGCAAAGAGGTGCCGGGAGCGGACGATGAACTTGAAGATGTACTCCAGGGCCTTGAAGGTGCGCAGGAGGGGCTCGCAGGGCTCCCCGCGGCTCGCCTGCTCCACGTACTGGGTCAGCACCCCGATCAGCTTCCTGCGGGACGGGGACGCGTCAGGAGAGCGCGGCGCTTCCTCACCGCACCGCCGGGTGCTGAGCCCCGCTGCGGCTCCTGCCGCCCCGTCCCTGCCGCGGCCCCGGGGCTCCACGCGCACTTGTAGGCGAGCGTGGCACTGAAGTGCTGGCGGATGTACGCCTCCAGGACGGCATTGAAGTGCTGGAACTTCCTGTCGGCGACCAGCCCCACGATGAACACCTGCGGAGAGGCCGCGCGGCTCAGCACGGGGCATTGCCAGGCGCCAGCGCAGACACGGGGAGGGACCCGGGCGCAAGGTGGGCAGCGCGCCCGTGGTGAGTTGGGTCCTGTGCTGAAAGCTCGGCTGGGAAACGGATGCTGCTTACCAGGGCATCAAAGATGAGCGTGTCGTAGACGTCAGTGTCCGCATTCTCCATCATGATGGAGAACAAAGCATCCAACGTGTCCTGGAGGAACTGCGGGGAGGAGACGGCAGTGAGAGCTCCAGCACTGCCGGCACTGTGAGAAGGAGGGACCTCCAGCACAGAGCCGCTGCTGTCCCTTCACAGCTTTTCTCCTTCGGAGGCATCCGGCCCATTTCCAGGACCTGCCAGCTGCCCACTGTGAGGCAGCAGCCCCTCTCCTACCTTGATGACCTCCCCTCCATCCACATGCATCAGCTTCTGCAGGTTCCCCGCCAGCAGGCTGGGCTTGGCCCGCCACTTCAGCAGCCCCAGCAAATTCACTGCGGGGAGGTAGGAAAGATCAGCACAGGCTTTGTGCACATGCAGGCTCCACATCAGGGACCCCGGGCACCATCCTGCCCCAGGAAGCGCCCTGCAAGGGGTGAGATGCAGCTCCTCCTGCACCCCAAGGACATGGAGAGCCGCTGGTGGGGGGGCCAGCTGTGCCTGCACCAAACACTGCGCTGTGCCAAAGGATGCAGGGCGACGGAGCAGCCGCCCTGCTCATCCTACCCCGACCCCTAGCCCTAACTCCAATCCAAACATCAGCCCTAATCCTAACCCTAGTGCCAGCCCTACCCCTGCCCCTTTTGTGCTCTGCAGCTGGGCCGCCTGTGCCAGCACCCCTTTGGGGCACCTTGTCCCCCCCAGGCTCAGACACAGGATGGCTGGGGGCCCCACAGCCCTTCCAGAACTTGCAGCCTGCACCCAACTTCTGCACAACAAGAACCCAGAGCAAAAGGGGAAGTGTGCGGCTGCCTCCCGCTCCTCTGTATGAGGGGGGTTGGTCCAGACCCGCAGTGGGGCTGTGGGCACATTACATGCAAGCCCTCAGCCCTGGTGCAGGTATGCAAAGCACCAATCCAACACCACGCAGCACCAGCAGCACCGTTGCAGCTCTGTGCGCTGCAGTGGCGAAGCACGGCTGCAGCTGCCACATGTGCAGCGTGCAGCTCTGAGTGCAGGGGCTGCTCAGCACAGAAACCTCCTGCTTTCACTCCCACGGAAACATCATCACACTCCACTGACTGAAGGCTGAGAGCTACAGAGGCTGCACTTGCGCTGCAGGAAGAGAATGAGCTGAACTGCGGCAGCCCCAAACCCCACTTGCACTGAGCCACACTGGTCCCAAACCCAATCGGCGCAGCAGCACTGAGTCACCGTGTGCTGTGCTGAGCACCCCGAGCACCGGGAGCCCCGCTGCAGCATCCCAGCTGCGTCACTGCGTGCAGCACACGCACAGCTGAGCGCTCCCAGCCTCCAGCCCTGCACAGGAGGCACCGCGGTGGGGGAGCAAAGCAGCCGTGCAGCTCCTCCGCATGGACCGGGTGCACGCAGAGCCCAACTGCTGCTATGTCTGCTTTCACCCACGTCTGTGTGCCTGTGTCCCCTGGGGAGGGACGGGCGGCCGCTCCTGCTGCTGACACCTGCAGTGACCCGGCGCAGAGCACTGGCACCATCACAGGGCACAGAGCACAGCCCTGCCTGCTCCTCAGCTGCACACACACTGCACAGCCCGAGGGGAGCCCTGCTGAGGGCACAGCTGGCTCTGAGCCGTCAGGGCGGGCACCCTGCGCTGCCAGCTGGGCTCTGTTTGCTTCACAGGCACACGTGGAGCCGTTTGCATCCATGCCAGCTCTCAGTCACGGCTGCCCGCGCCGCTCTGTGCTGCTGCGTCCCAAACCATTTTGTACGAATCAGAAATCCTCTCTAAACGCTGACGTGTCTGCGCTCAGAGGGCCTGACTTCAGCGCACCGAGCAAAGGACCTCGGGGCTGAAAGCTCCAACTACACAGCAACAGATCGCACTTCAAAACACGGCGTCCCAATTCCCATCGTGATTTCAGCACAGCGTTCAGCAGCAGCACTCAGCAGCTCCTTCCAGCTCCTAAACTGAAGGCAGCAGCTCGGCTCCCTCAGGGGTGTGAGCAGATTAATTACCATCTGCAGGGCTCGGTGCAGGCCAAGAAGCTGCTCGCTGCCTGCGGCTGCCGGCAGGGCTGGGCTCAGCACGGTGCGTGCAGCAACCTGCAGCCTGCAGCTCTCTGCTCACACCGCCCTGCCTTGGAAAAACAACCCACTGCCAACCCAGGAGGGCTCAGGAGAGCGCTAAGCCAAAAGACAACCTTGATACAAACAAAGCGAGCGATGCTGAGTGGCAGCCCTGAGCCTTCAGCGCACACAGAGCGGCAGCGAGTGGTGCCACGTGGCAGGGATGGCAGCCACAGGGCCACATGCGGCCACCGTGTGCGCTGCCCACCTGGGGGACAGCAGCCCCAGAGCCTTGGGAGCCCGGGACACCGCAGCAGCTCGGGGGCTGCCGTTTCCCTCGGGAGCACCGGTGATGTCAAAGCAGGACGTCAGCGCTCAGCACTTCTGCTTTCCCCGCGCTCTTGGCTCCGCAGCATCCCCACAGCCGCTGCTGACAGCAGTGAGCTTCCTGCTGCACGCAGCCCAGCCACCCCCAGCGCTCCCCCTGTCCTGGCTGTAAATCACTCTGCAGCTCTGCTCCCTCGTAACAAGGGGATCACAGCAGCCCCCTTCCTAACCAGCCCCTGCGGATAGGGGCGTGCAAGCTGTATTTATTCCATCTCTTAGGAAGGAGAGCAGGCCTGGTCCTGCTCCCTGCCCCTGAGGACACACAGTCAGCACAGGCAGCAGAGCCAGACAGACCCCCTCCCCAGGACAGCATTGCTGGGGGAAACGGGTGGGAAGGGACAGATGGGGGTGGCCAGGACTGGCAGAGTCAGTGCACGAGGACAATGTGCTCAGCACAGGGACACACAGCTGGGCTGTGGGGCGCAGCCACGTACCGCCCCATCCCCTGGCACCACCGACCCATCAGAGCTCAGGGAACAAAGCACCGCCTGCTCCACACCTGGTGCAACGGCCTGGGGTGCTCCCTGCAGCCATTCCTATAGAATTTGCTCTTAAAGAAGTTTCTTCTTTTCCAGCACTACAGAGCTCAGCTACGCGCATCGTCCATCGGTGCCCACTGCCAGCAGCACAGCAGCGCCGCTGCGCATCCAGCACTCACCGTTCTGGGTCAGCTTTGTGGAGCAGACGAGCGTTGAGATCTGGAAGCTGTCCCGGGCTGACACGGCCAGGCCTGCCACGCTCCCAGCCACGCGGAAAGAGGACCCAGAGAGGATCCAGGGCTCCGAGGGGCCCCTGGTGGAGGGCAGCCCCAGGTACGAGCCCGCGTCCTCCAGCTTCCTGCTGTCCCCCTGCAACACAGCACGGCTCACAGACATGCACGCAGCTGGGGAGCGTGGCGGGTGTGGGGCGGCTGCGGGGCAAGGGAACAAGCAGAGCTGCAGGTGAGCGTGCATCCCAGGGCAGGGAGCCAGAGGTCAGCAGCTCCTGGCTCTGAGGCATGGCTGCAACCCGGAATCAGCGCTCTGAGGGCTCCTCTGAGCTTAGCATGCACAGAGCAGCTCGCTTCCCATAGAGCTCCACGGGGACCTGCGTGCAGGGAGAGGAGGCTGCGTTCCAGCTGGTGCAGATGGGGGACAAAACACAGGTGATGTCAGCAGATCAGGGGGAGGGCAGCAGTGAGGGCTGCAGGGCCGGAGCAGCAGAGAGCAACAGAAGAGTTGCGTGCACAAGTTGCACCACGAGGCTGGGCACACAGCAGGGTCCCTGCACAGGTGGGACAGGCTGAGGAACCACTGCTGTCACCATTACCCACCTCAAGGACACGGCCCAGCAGTGCCACCAGCCCAGGGGGACAATGGAGTCCCACGGAGAGCTCTGAGCTGAGCAGCAAACATTTGTCTTTACCCTGGTTGCCACCCTGCCCACCAAACTTCTCTTCTTCTGAAGGTCAAAGATTGCAGAAGTGTTGGTTTGCTTTTCCCCTGTGAGCCCTGCGCCCAGCTGCAGGCCAAGGGCAGCACAGTCCAAGGGGGTAGTGGGCTCAAACGCACACATCTCCCTCCAGCACAGACGAAGAGGTCTGAGGAGCTGTGAGGATGGAGTTCACGCTCCTCTGGCAAACAACGATGAAATCTTCTGCCTCCCGCTGTTCGCTGGGAGGAGCAGAAAGCTGCAGGACGGGGAGGGCAGCGCAGAGCAAAGCAACGCTGCTCAGAGGCTGCGGACAGCAGCGGGGTCAGCGAGGGCAGCAGCAACTCTTTGAAAAGCAGAAAGTGCGCACAGCAGGGAGGCGTGCGAGGCTTTTCTGCTCCGCGACGCCCTGGAGGCAGGAGGGGCTGCTGTGCGTGGGGACGCGGCGCAGGGCAGGGGCCAGGAGAGCGCGCCTGCAGCAGCGCCGAAGGAATTCGGGTGCTCTGCCCAAATAGCGTGCAGAGGAAGGAGGAGACAACAGATCTCAAATGCATTTTTTCTTCTGCGGAAGAAAAGCACAGCTCTCTGTCGGTGGGAGGTCAGGAATCAGCAAAATGAATGAGCAGAGAGAAGGGCAGCGCTGGGCCGGAGCTCCGGGCAGGCAGCGCACGGCTGGGGGGGGGCTGGGCCACAGGGGATGGGTGGGAGGACAGGTGGGGGCTGCAGGCAGTGATGTGCAGACGTGGGCAGGAGAGCAGCAGTGGCAGCAGAGTCTGGTGGCTGCTGCAGGGGCGCCGCTCCACGGGAGCTGAGGTCCCGGGACGGCAAATGGGAAAGGACAGGGAGGAGCACGGAGAGGAGGAACCCTCTATGGTGCAGAAAGCAATGGGGAAGGTCTGGATGAGGCTGCACAGCGATGGCAGCTGAGCGTTCCCAACCCACGGGGACCTGTGTGGGGAATTGGTTCTGCCCAGAGAGGTGGCAGCGACCTCCAGGAATAGCGGTAAGACCACAGAAAACTTCAGCTAAATGCTGGGGGCCTGAATCACCTCCTGCAACGGTCTGGGGGTGCATAGGGCAGGAGCCCGGGGTGCAGCCCCACTGCTCCCCATGGCCGTGGCAGATTCAGCTCATCGCAGCACAGGAGAGCACCGGCTGCAAGCGTCAGCCAACCGCGCCTCTCCTGACCAACAGGAGCCTCCCCTCCTCGCATTTCCCCTGTGCTCTCAGAAGAAAAACAGACCCGGAGGTTTTAAGCCCACAAACCCCGGTGAAATCAGGTAAAAGGCAGCAAATCCCTCTGTGAGGACGCTCCCTGCTGGGGCTGACACATTCAAGTTCCTCTTCCTAAACAAAACTTGGCACCGCTGATGCGCAGAGCGGGGTTGGAGATGATGTGTGCAGAGAGCCGTGGAGGGGCCCACGAGGACAGGAGGAGATGGGGACCCTGCACACGTGGCTGTGGGCACAGTCCTGGGCCGCTCTGCCCTACCTTGTACAGGATGAGGTCGTGCTCCCCGTCACGTAGCGTGGTGCCATCAGGGCGCATCAGCTTCACAAAGGCCATGGAGAAAATCTTCTCGCTTTTGTCTTTAGCTGGGAGAGAAAAAGGCACAGAGATGGAGGTGGAGGCAGCGCAGGGGAAGGGTGGGTGCAGCCGTGCAGGGCTGCTGTGCTGAGGCCATCGCTGCCTTCCACAGGAGCACCACGAGATGCACTGATGCACGCAGCTGCAGCACAGGTATGGGACAGGGAGGGAGAGAACACCAAGAACAGAGGAGCAGAGGGGAGGTGGGGTGCCTATATAGGGCCTATATGCCCTATGGGGCAGATAGGGTCAGCCAACCGCCCCGGGCACCCTCCCTGCAGCTGGGACATGCCAGGCCGCCCTCGTGCCCAGCTCTGCAGCTGTGAGTTGCTCCCAGTCCTACATGAGCCCACAGGAAGGTGCACAGAGCTGCACCACCTCATGGCCTCTGATTCCTGGCTCTGCAATGCAGCTGACAGCAGCCCTCTGCTCCCTGCAGCCCACGGCCATGAGGTGCCAGCACAGAGCCCAGGAGCTGCTGTGCAGAGACAGTCGTCCCGAGGTTTGTATCTCTGCACGGCGGCTGGGACAGAGCAAACCAGGGACAGCAGCTCGCTTCCTCCAGGTCTCACAGCAGCCCTGGTGCGTCCCCACAGCAGAACAGGGCAAGGGCTGCTTGTGAGGCTCCTGCCTCCGAACCCCACACACGGCCAGAGCCCCGGCGGCACCAGGAGCAGAGCAGTGCGCAGAGCAACGCTTACTGTCACTGGAGGAGCGGTGCCTGAAGGTGAAGCGCAGGTGGGTCTTGTGGACGTCCTCAATGGGAACTGCAATCTGAGGGAGAAGAACCCACGTGAGCGCAGCAGGGAAGAGCTGGGCAGCTGGGCCAGTCCTGACGCCCTGCTTGGTGAGGGGCCGGGGGTTTGGTGGGACCAGCACAGACCTTCACCGTCTCCATCCAGCGCTGGTGCCGCTGCTGGTAGTACACCACAGAGCGGTACTGGCTGGCCGCCTGGTCCCCCGCCCCGTGGTAAATCACATTCTGCAGAGATGTTTGTGCTCAGCTCCCACCAAGCCTTACACGACTTACAGAGCAAAGGACACGAAGGCACAGCCCAGTACAGACGGCACCAGAGGGGTCCAGAACCCCCACAGCCGCCTTGCGCCCACGCAGCCCAGGCAGTGCGGGGACCTGCTTTGGAGCATCCCTTCCCAAACGCTGCCCCGTCCCCATCTGCCACAGCCCCTCCTCCCCACGGGAAATTCATTACCACGGGCAGAAAGAGATGGGGACTGCATCTCTGCAGGAGCCCAGCGGGCGCCTCGCTAATTAACAACCTGTTCCCACAGGCCAGATAAGAGCAGTTTGCAATGAAAGCAAACACCCTGGAAAAGGGACGAGGCAGCGGGCGCACGGAGGTGGGAGCGGCTGGGTCTGCCCCTTCCCACCACCTTCGCAAGGCTTTATCCCGAAGGACAACCTCAGGAGCGCCGCTTGGCCACCAGGGCCGTTCCAGGCACAGAGCTGCTGCCCCTGCTCAGAAAGCGTGGGGCAGAGGCTGCTCACCATACCTGCACCACGCTGCCCGACTCGTCGCAGACGCACACCGTCACCTCCACGTTCTTCTGCGTCTTCTTGCTCCCCTTGTCGAACTCTCCCTGCACCAACGTCAGGTAGATGTCGTTCCGGACGTCCCCTGGAAGCAGTGCACTCAGTGAGCCGGGCCCCGCTGCAGCCAGCACCGCCAGCGCCCCCTGCCCTGCCTCGCCTCGGGGTCGGCACCAACAGCGCGCCGGGCTCGCTGCCCTCCCCTCCCCCTGCACAGCGCTGCTGCTGCGCCCATCTCCTGAGCCAGTGATGCGCTGCAGGATGGAGCAGGACGCTGCTGCTCCCTGCTTGCCTGGCATGATGACCTCCGGGAAGCCCAGCTTGCGTGCCACCACCGTGCTGCGGTCCACGAGGTGCGGGTGGTCCTTGCGCACCTGGTTCAGGTCTCCCCACAGCATCTTCAGGGACAACCAGAACCCTGTGGGGAGCAGAGTGAGGGCTGTCAGCCCCATGGCTGGTGCCAGCTCGGCCCGAGCTGCAGCCAGAGCTGCTCCCACGGGGCACAGCGCTGAGGTGCGCTGGGGTGGGTGATCCCCCCCTGCCCCCACTGGGCTGATCCCGACTGCCAGGACAGCTCCAAGCACAGCCCTGCTCCATGCAGGAGCGTGATCACAACCCGTGGCTGCTGCAGGTTTATTGGGCTGTGGGGGGGGGCTGCTACCTTGTCCTTTGTGGTTGATGTCCTTCCCCTCCACTGCTTTCCTGATCATGTTGTGAAGGAAGTCGTTTTCGGCGGCCGCCCTGCCAGACAGCAGGAGGAGCTGGGAGGGCTCACGCAGCACCGCTGCTCTCCACCACAACAGCAAAACAAGCCGGACCCCAGGGCTCCCCACCCGCCTGCTGCAAAGGCCCCCATAGGGAGGTGCAGGAAAGCACCCGGGCTGCTTTGGGGTGAACCACAGCACTCTCACACCCACAAAGTGGAGCCTGCAGTGGGGCTCCAGGAAGGTCCGTATCCCTCGGTATCTCACGGGCCACACCAATACCCTTTCTCCTAACCCCGCAGAGCTCCTGATCCTGATTACACAGAGCTCCAGGGACGCGCAATCTCTTTGCAAAGCCCAAGTCCCCAGCAGTATCTGCTCTCTGTTTCTGGCACTCCTGCTGTCCCTGTGCCACCACTGTCCCCACGCCAGCCCAGCCCCCGGGGCGCTGCCTGCCCTCAGCCCCAGGACTCACAGGTGCACGGGAATGAAGTGCTGTTTGTCCTCGTCACTCTCGCACTTCCCCTTGGTGATGTCGGTGATGTCCATCACTGCAGTGGTGCAGAAACAGCAGCCGTGGATGCAACCCCGGTGCCACAGACCCCTGTGCCAAACCCTCCTGCATGCACCCAGGGCCTGCTTTGTCCCCTCTGCAGCCACAACCCTGCCCTGTATCCCAGCACGGATCCTGCTCCCAGGGATGTCACCGTGTCCCACAAGGACCCCTCTGCCCCCTGGTGCTGGGTGGCACCGAGACACACGAGGCTCTGGGCAGGGACTCGTGCTGCGCCCGCAGTTCTGTTGGGGTTGCACCCAATGCCGTGTCAGGGAGGGCTGCCATGGGGTCTGTGTGGCCACACTGGTGGCACCCCCAGCCCTGTGGCAGCCGCAGGCAGCAGGGACAGGGAGCTGCACCGCTGCACCAGGACCATCCATCTGCTCCCCCCCCAGAGACATGCTCGGCTCAGAGCGCAATTAGCTGCCGGTATGTTAATAATTCACCTGGTAATTGCTTCGTGGCCAAGATCCTAGTGCACGCTAATTGGCCAATTAAAATCGATAATTTCCTACCAAGCCCATCCAAAGAGGATCAATACCCAGAGCAGCAGCATTTGTCAGGGCAGGGTGGGGTGCGGGGAGCTCCTGCACTCCCCTCTCCATGGGGCTCTCTGCCCTGGGGGGGCTCTGCTGGCACCACCTGCGTGACCCAGCCAGCGCAGCGATGGCGATGGGGAAAAGTGAGCATGGAGGGAACAGGGCAGAGCGGAGGGGGGCGGCTCTGGGTCTGGGAGCTGCCCATGGGGTTGGTGTGATGTCGGGGTCCACCCCGAGCCCCCCTCACCCGAGATGCCGAAGGGCCGCCGCAGCCCGGTGCTGAGCTTGCGGCTGAGGGTCTCACGCAGGTCCATGCGGCCCACCCGGATGATCTGACACACCAGGAAAAGCCTCTCCCGCTTCAGGTCCTTGCTGCCCAGGTCCTGGGAGCACAGCAGGGTGTGAGAATTGAGTGAGGATGCTCTGCTGCCAGGAGGGCACGGCGAGCTGCGACTGCCTGGGAGGACAGCTGGGGGTACGGTTAATGGGGTGCAGAGCTGCTGCAGAGCTCTGCTTTTGGGGCCAGGGATTGCTGCTGTGCCCCACAGAGGGCACAAAGCTGCTGCGTGGAGCCCGGGGATCGTGTGCACAACACAGTGTGGGCTGATGGAGACGATGGCCTCAGGGAGTCCCCATGGCAATGACAGCACCTCGAGGTGGGACAGATCTGACGCGGTGCGGGGCCTGGGGAGCAGCCATGCACCCCAACTCCAGGCACCGCGGCCAGGCCAGATCCCATGGGCTCTGCTCCTGCGGGGCTGCGGCACGGGAACGCGGCTCAGGGACGCAGCGCCAGCCGCAGGCGGGGATCGGAGAGGAGCGAGCGCTGGGGGAGTTGGACCGCGCGGCTGGAAGTGCTGATGCTGCTCATTTACACTGATTTCCCGGCTCATTTGCATATCGATGGCTCGGGCCGTCCTGAGGGTCAGCGCAGCTTCGCTCGAGCAGCAGAAACCTGCGCAGTCAGCAGGAGCTGCTCCTCGCCCGGCTCACTGCAGGCAGCCGAAACCGGGACGAGCCTGACTGCGGGGTGAGGGTGGGCACGGGGCCGGGGGAGGGCAGGGAGTGGGGCGCAGGGGGGGGGGGGAAAGCGTGCAGAGGGGCAGAACTGGGAGCGGGATGCATGGGGGGGATGCGGACCGTGACAGGCTTGGGGATCCCCGCACGCACAGCGCCCCAGTGCATCCCAAGCGCCGCATCGAGGGGGTGTTGCAATGCAGCAAGGTGGGGAGGATGTGCGCCATCCCCCAGGCACAGACCCAGAGCGGGTGGGCGAGGGCCGGGGCTCACCGTGAAAATGGCCCGGAGGTTGTTGAGCAGCTCGATGTCCCGCGGGACGCCCGTGCTGGCCCAGTGGATCACGTAGCTCTCGCTGGGAGGGAACGGTGTGAGCAGCCCGCAGAGGGGCCGGGGCGCCCCGCACGGACACGGAGGGCACAGAGGGACGGGAGCCCGGCCCCACAGGGCACGGGGAGCACCGCACCTGATCATGCGCTGCTCTCCCGGGTCGTACAGAGCCATGAAAAGCTGCGCCTCCTCGCCGATATTGCAGACGAAGTTGCGCACGCAGAGGTAGAGGCTGTGCGAGGGCGAAGCCGCCAGGCGTGCGCTGCAGCCCGGCTGGCTCTGCTGCGAGCTCTGCGGGGCACGAGGCTGCTCAGCCCCACACGCAGCTCAGGGCTGTGGGGCACGGGCTGCGTGCAGCGCCGTGGGCACGTGGCACGTTGGGATCGGTGCCACCCTCACCGTCTCCTCCTGGATGCGCTGCGTGACGGTCTGCGCTGCCCTCCTGTGTGCCTGGAACAGGCTGATGATGCTGGTCCTGTCGGGGTCCAGGATGTTCTCATCCTCGTCCCGCACCACCAGGTCCAGCGCCAGGATCCTGCAGAGGGGGTGAGGTGGGACCCAGAGCCCGGTTGGGCTATATGTGGGGCTGTGTCCCCCTCTGGGACCTGCAGGCAGGGGGCCGTGAGCACGGCACGGGGCAGGACAGTCCTGGAGATCACAGCCAGCAGCAGAGCAGCGGGGCTGGAACAGCAGTAGCACCAGGGATGCGTTCTGCCCCAACCCAGGGCCCTCAGCAATAGCTCTTGGCGAGGTGGGTTGCACAGCATTGTCCCCGCCACCCCAGCACAGCGGGGACGTGAGGACAGCCCCGTTCCCCTCTCACTTGTTGCCATAGTCGATCTTGCTGGTCACCTCCTTCTTGAGCTGCAGCAGCTCGTCCTTGGGCAGCGTACCCGAGAGCAGCTGCGAGCGCTGCTCCATCAGCTCGTACATCATCTGCTTCACCCTGCAGTACCGCTCCACCTGCCCCGTCTGTGGGCAGCGCCGTGCTCAGGGTCACCCCCAGCCCCAACCTCGTCCCGTGCTCCCCCACCCCCGCCTCCCCTCACCACATAGAGCTGCTTCCAGATGGCGGCCCACTCCCGCAGCGTGGTGGTGATCTCCTGCACCATGGGCATCTCGGCGGGCACCACGCTCTCCTCCGCCCTGTGGGGAGGGCACAGAGCCCTGCAGCGCCCGCTGCCGGCACGCGGCTGCCCCCCCGCCCCATACGTACCCCCTGCGCTCCACCACCGCGCCCTTCAGGCGGATCAGCGAGGCCGGGAAGATGCCCTGCGGAGCAGCAATCAGCGGTAGGCACGGGCCGGGGGCTTCCCGAGGAGTGAGCGCCCCGCAGGGGTCCCCATCCCCTCGGTGTCCCCAGCGGGTACCCACACAGCAGGGGCTGGCTGAGCCCCCCGTGCCCCTCACCTACCCGAGCAGCCCTGTTCCTGAGCGAGTACCCGCGGTACCAGCCTGCGAGAGAAGGGAGGAGCTCACCGTGAGCCAGGCTTGGGGCCAGGCAACCCCCGGCCGAGTGCAGCTCAGCCCCAGCCCAGCCGGGACCCCTTACCCTCGGACGCCTGCAGGATGTGCACCGTCTCCCCGATCTCCAGTGGGAGGTGATGCTCGTTGGCACTGGGGAAGTTCCACACGGCTGCAGAGACAGGGGCCAGGAGCTGTGAGCAGGGGCTCCTCGTCCTGCCCCCGCCCAGCGGAGGCCCTGCAGCCGCGTACCTCTCACTCGACCCCCACGTAGGGCTACAGCCACCTCTCCGGGCATCGCTCAGCCCTGAGCTTTAGGGGTGGCGGCACAGAGTCCCAGCCCTGCGCAGGATGAGCAGCAGCACGGGGTGCTTCCTGCTGCAGCAGCGGCCGCGCTGCTCCTGCTGCTATTTCTGCACAGCGACGGCTCCTCTGCGGCTCCGGGAGGGGGCAGCCCTGACCACAGGACGGGCGGCACCCTGCGCAGGAGACCGTCCCTACAGATGTGCCTGCAGCTGGTGGCGCCCTGCTGGGACCCTGCTCACACCTCACCCCATTCACTCAGCCCTCCAGCCTGCATCGCAGGGACTGCAGCGCTCACAGACCTGCGTGGCTCATCCGAGACCCCCAGCTGGAGCCCCATGGCCGTGCTGGCTCCTCGCAGCTCCAAAGCCCTCAGCTTCCCACGGACCCTTCCTGCTCTCTGCACGAGGATCCTGCACAGCCCCAGGCCCCAGTCCTGTTCGCCCCCCTGCCGGGCCCAGGCCTCCCACAGGGCAGCCCGGAGGGTCCCTGGCAGACCCCCCCCCCGCAGCACAGGGCAGAGGCCTGGGAAACGGCCCCTCCAGAAAGGGGAAGAGGCACAGAGCAGGGAGGGCGGGAGTGGCGTAAAGAGAAGTTCCTCAGGGTGCTGCAGGGAGGCTGAGTGGGGCCAGGGCAGGGATTGAGGCTGCCAGGGCTCTGCCACAACCGCCGCAGGGACCAGGAGCAGGGACTGGGAGCAGAGCCTCAAGGTGGCCCAGGGGCAACGGCAGGGCTGACTCTGGGCTGCACAGGCACCTCCCCACAGGCAGATCGGAAATGAGCACAGTCCATGGCACTGGTCACTAACGAGCTGAAGAGCCCTGGAGCCGAGCATGGTTCAACATCCAGGCTGAGCCCAGCACAGAAGGGAGGACAGATCCTGCACCGAGCCTCGGAAAGGCGCAGCCTCAACGCTGCCCTGCCTCTCGGCCCCCGGCTCCACGACTCCCAACCCATCCCACCACCGGCCCTGCAGCCCCCGTCCACTCCACGCTTCATCCCGCAGCCCCTGATCTTCCAAAACCAGCGGCAGCGCCGTGGGGACCCGGCCTCCAACTCTCACTACCGAGCATCGCCTCCGCCCCGCCCCAGCGCTGCTCAGCCCGCAGCCCCGGCTCCCTGCTCAGCCGCCGAGGCCGCACTCACCCACGCCATACTTCTCCTTGGTGGGCAGCCAGGGGGCCATGGCCAGCCGTGCAGCACGGGGACCCGAGGCGCTGCGCGGGGCGCTGCCGGTTCCTCCCGCCTCGCTCCCCGGGTCACGTGCGCCCCACCGGCTTGTGCAAACTTCTGCTTCCTCAACACCCCGCCGGGCGCCGCGGGGCCCAACGGCAGCCCGGCACCCACCGGACACCGGACAACGGCTCCCGAGCCGCCTACGCCAGGATTAGGAGCCTCCCAACCCCAGCGACGCCGCGGTGCCCGGAGCGGGGACGGCGGGCCGGAGCCCGGGGCACAGCGAAGCAGCACGGGGCCGTCCGCGCCCCCGGCTGCGGCCAACCCGCCCCCGAACCTCAGCGCAGCGCCGCGCAGAGCCCCGCAGGACCGAGCCCTGCGCTGCTCTCCTGCAGCACCCAGCGGCCGGGGGAGCAACAGCTCAGCACCGCCGCCTGCCTTCCGCTCTCGGCGCCCGCCTGCCCGGCTCGGGGAGCTCACAGAATGACGGAACGGCCCGGGTTGGAAGGGAATGCAGGGATCACGAAGCTCCAATCCCCCGCCACACGCAGGGCCACCAACCTCCATATCTAAGGCTACACCAGGCTGCCCAGGGCCCCATCCAACCTCCAACCCCTCCAGGGATGGACGGGGCATCGCAGCCTCTCTGCAGCTGTTCAGCCCCTCCCCGCTCTCACAGCACACAACTTCCCCTGACACCCAACCCCAAGCTGCCCTCCCTCAGCTCCCAGCCGTTTCCCCTCGTCCTGCTGCCATCTCCCCTTGCACACAGCTGCCTCCCCTCCTGGCTGCAGGCTCCCTTCAGGCACTGCAGGCTGCTCTGAGGTCACCCCGCAGCTTCTCTTCTCCGTGCTGAACGAGCCCAGCTCCCTCAGCCTGGCTTTGCAGGGAGGTGCTGCAGCCCCGATCATCTCTGTGGCTCCTCTGGATCCCCTCCAACAGCTCCTGTCCTTCCTGTACCGAAGGGCCCAGACCTGGATGCAGTGCTGCAGACGGACGGACAAGAGCAGCGCGGAGCAGCGCAGCGCAGGACAATCGCCCACCGCCCCGTCCCTGCCTGCCAGCACCCCGCTGCTCCGCTCTGCCCTCCGGTCGCACCCAGGGTTTCCCACCCAGCAGGCGGCTGCGCCGCCCAGGCCGGCAGCGCCCGGCCGACCGACGCCGCGCGCCCCGCAGCCCCGCAGCCCCGCAGCCCCGCAGCCCCGCAGCCCCGCAGCCCCGCAGCCCCGCAGCCCCGCAGCCCCGCTCCGCTCTGAGCGAGGCGCCGCCCCCGTTCCCGCCATCCCGGCCGCTCGGAGCCCCGCTCTCGCCCCGCCCCGCCCGCTGCGGCACGAAACGCATCCGCAGATTCGCCACGAAACACCCGGCGCGTTCGTACGGCGCGGCCGAGCGGAATGAAAGCGGCTCTGAACACCTTTGGCCTTTAATCGCAATCGAACGGCTCGCGGGCGAACCGCGCCACAAACGAGCACGGCCGGGCCGAGCCGTTCCCACGTTCGCCGCTCGGAGGGGACGGGCCGCCCCGCAGCCCCACCTGGCGGCCCCGAGCCGGGAACAGAAGGCTCCGGTCTGGGCGCCGGGCTCGGGACGCTGCACCGGAGCGGTGCCGGCCGGGACGCGCCGGGACGCGCCGGGCTCTCGCCGGGCTCCGCGCTGGCCGCCCGCCCCGGAGCCGCCCGTTGCCACGCAGACGCCGCCCTTAGTAACGGACCGCGCGCCGCCGGGCGGCAGGGGCGGCGCTGATTGGCGGCTGCCGAAGGCCACGTGACGACGCCGCGGTCACCTGACGCCCGCTCCAGGCAGGGCCGAGGTGGCGGCGGCGCGCGCAGGTGAGCGGCGGCCGGGCCGGAACCGGAACCGGAACCGGAACCGGAACCGAACGGACCCGCGGTGCCCCCTTTCCTTCGGGCCGACCCGCTGCCCACGTCCCCCTCCGGTGCGGTCCGGTGACTCCCGGCTGTGCCCGGCCTCATTCGTGCACTGCGCTCCGGGTCGCTTGGCCCGGCCTGAGCTCCTCAGCCCTCCGCCCCCGCGTGCCCCCATCCCGCGCCCCAATCCCGTGTGCCCCCATCCTGTGTGCCCCCATCCCCACGTGCCCCTGCCCCCCTCTGTCCCAGCCCAGCCCCATCTGTCCCCATACCCAGTCCATGCCGGTCCCTGTCCTGGGCCCTCCCACCCCCTCACGTCCCATTGAGGGTGGCTCAGCCCCAGGCTGTCCCCCATGTCCCCACACCCTGCAGGCATCAGGGTGTCCCTGTGCCACCTCCCACCTGCCCCTTGCAGTGGAAGCGCCATGGCCACCGGCGGGGCCTCGAGTTCCCCGCCGCGGCAGAACGGCTCCGGTTCGGTGCTGGAGGATGAGGAGGAGGATGAGGACCCAGCCCTGGGCTGCGACGGGGACCTGGAGGTGAATCCGTACGATGGCCTGCCCTTCTCCTCACGTTACTACGAGCTGCTGCGGCAGCGGCGGGAGCTGCCAGTCTGGACCACCAAGTACAGCTTCATGGAGCACCTGGAGGGCAGCAGCGGCATCGTGTTGGTGTCTGGGCCACCCGGCACAGGCAAGAGTACACAGGTGAGCGGGAGGGCTGGGGCCGTGCTGCTGCTGAGATGGGCACAGGGCTGCGCTGTGCTGCGGTGCTCCCTCAGCAGCGCCGTCCTCCTTACACGGAGCAGCTGTGGTGCTGCTGTCAGGAGACGCCTCACCCTGTGCTGGGGCAGCAGCCTTCCCACACACTGATCCTGTTGCTGCATGAACGTCCTGCAGCCCTGGGCTCTGCTTTGGCCTTGATGCAGCGGATGGCTCCATGGGTGGCATTGCCAGCCCCACCGCGGCAGGCAAACAGCACTGTGTGCAGTGCTGGATGTGCCAGGGCAGGAGTGCTGGCTTCAGGCAGTGCTTCTGCATGAGCTGGGGAGGCACTGCCACCTGTGTGTTGGGAGAGGGCTGGGACTCTTGCTGGCTTGGTGCAATGGTCAGGGATGGTCAGTGTGGGCACACGGTGCCAGGACCGGGCCTCCCCATGGAGCAGGGGTAGCGCGTCCCATCTGTGCTCCTCTGACACAACACCTGAGGATGTCGTCACGCAGACTTTGACCTGCAAAGGTATCGCCTGGAAGCTGCAGGGGTAACCATGAGCCTCCACAGGGCCGGCTGCCGTTTGGATCAAAGCTCAGCAGCTGCCGGTCGCTGGGTTTATCAGGGCGTTGGCTGCAGGGCTCTGGGTGCAGCCGTGCTGCGGCGCTCAGCTGAGGTTCAGCGTGAGGCACAGGCAGCGAGGAGCCCCCTTTAGGGGCCTCACCCAGTGCTTGGTAGCCCTGGGGCTGGGCTGCCCTCGGGTGCAGGCACCGTGCGGGTCCTAGAAGCACCACACCTCCAGCAGACGGGGAGACACGGAGCGTCTGATCCCATGCCTTGGTGTGCAGCACACTGCAGATTGGTGTGCTGCCCAAAGGGGGAAGAGCTGATGCTCAGGCTGCGTCCCTTTGCTGTTTCTGTGGCTGACTGCGCTCTGTGCCGGTCCTTATGAGGAGGAGGCATTGAGCTGTGCACAGTGGTGATGAGAGGGGGCACAGCCAGGCACAGGGCTGGGGGCTGCGGCCCCTGCAGGGCTGTGTGTGGGTCTCTGCAAGTGGCTTTGGGGGCAGATCCCTGCCGCTCGAGGGCACCCGCCTGCAGGTACTGCGTGCTGCAGGATGTGGGCAAGGAGCCCGCTGCGTTGCAGTTAAATGGCAGGCGTGTCTGGCTACAGCAGGGGAGTGAGGGGCTGGTTTGGAGGAGCCCCATCTAACGTGGACTGGGGCACGTGCTCTGCAGTCACAAACTGAGCATAGCAGGACTGGAAACATGTGGAAACAGGCAATGGGGAGCGATGAGGGGAGGAACGATTTCCCTGCTAGGAAGGAGGTGAGCAGCCAAGACTCGAGTGGGAGTAAGAAGCGACGAGGTAGAGATGGAGAGGGTGGTTGTCCCGTGTCTTTAATGCCAGGATCAGGGCAGAAAGCTCTGGGCAGAGGGTGGTGAGGCCTCGCAGCTCCCTGCAAAGGCCGCCGTGGGTTCGGGTGCAGCATCACCAGGGCAGGAGCGGCTGCGAGAGGCGCCGGGTGCCCCTGCACTGTGCAGAGCCCTGGCTGATGGCTGTGGAGCGCCCAGGCCGCCGACCAGCGCCGTCCCCTCGCAGGTCCCGCAGTGGTGCGCCGATTACGCCCTGTCCCTGCAGTTTGCACACGGCCTGGTGGCCTGCACCCAACCCCACAGCCTGGCCGCCCTCAGCCTGTCGCTGCGCGTGGCCGACGAGATGGACCTGAACCTGGGCCACGAGGTTGGCTACTGCGTCCCCCACGAGGACTGCTGCACCGCCGAGACCGTCCTGAGGTGCGGGGATGGGGGCCGCGGTGCCGGCGGTGCCGTTCTAATCCCGCTCTGCTCCCCGGCCGCGGCGTAATCGTTTAATCCCCCGTGGCCTCATTAAGGCAGCCGGGCAGGGCGAGCGCTGGGTGGGAGAGGCTCGCTCCCCTGGGGACGTCTGCAGGCATGGCCACCCCCTGACGGGTCCGGGCCGCGCAGGTTCTGCTCGGACGAGATGCTGCTGCGGGAGATGACGTCGGACCCCCTGCTGCGGCAGTACGGGGTGGTGGTGCTGGACGAGGCCCAGGAGCGCACGGTGCCCACGGATGTGCTGCTGGGGCTGCTGAAGGACGTCCTGCACCAGCGCCCGGAGCTGAAGGTGGTGGTGGTGACCTCCCCGGCCATGGAGGAGCGGCTGCGCGCCTTCTGCGGGGATCCCCCCGTGGTCAGGGTGCCCGGAGCCGGGCCGTCCCCGCAGCTGCTCTACAGGGATGTCCCAACCCACGGCCGCGTCGCGGCAGCCTGCCAGGCTGTGCTGGACATCCACCGGCGGCAGGAGCCCGGCCACGTCCTCCTCTTCCTGGCCAGCGAGCAGGTGGGGCCGCACCACCCCTTGCCTCGGGCTTTCAGGGCCTCCCGGTGCCACCGGTGTGGGGTTGGGGGCAGGAGGGCTGGAGGAGCTCCCTGTCTGTGGTTCTTAGGGAAGCCCTGACTGAGATGGGAGCTCGGGGTGTCCCCTGGGCTGGGGCAGCTCAGCTGTGGGCACGGTAGGGCCCAAGGTGTTTCCTCAGGGCAGCCAGGTGGGCACGGCCCTGTTTGGGGTCTGTGGAGACCCTGTGGGCATTGCTGCGACATCACTCGCGGCCCCGTCCTTCCTGCAGGAGATCACTGAGTGCTGTAGGGCCATCCAGACCGAAGCCGTGGCGCTGAACCCGGGGCTGGGCCCGCTGCTGGTGCTGCCTCTGCACCCCGGCGTGGGCCGTGCGGCACAGAAGGTGTATGAGGCACCGGAGGAGGGCGGCTGGGAGCGGCGGGTCGTCGTCACCCACTGGCTCGGGGACTCGTCCTTCTCCCTGGGATCTGTGGGCTTTGTCATCGACACGGGGCTGGAGCTGCGCAGTGTGAGTGGGGATGGGGAGCTTGGCTCTGCCCTGAGGCAAGCTGAGAGCGTGGGAAGAGGGTCTGGGCTCGAGATCATCCGCTCATCCCATTGCCTGCCCGGGGACTCAGCCCAGAGCCCGCTCTGCACCATCGGGGATGCAGGAGCTTTGGCGCAGGCGGGGGCTGACCTGTGGTCCCTTCTCATGGGCTCACGCTGCAGGTCTACAACCCCCGGATCCGCGCAGAGTCCCAGGTGCTGCGGCCCATCAGCAGGAGCCAGGCAGAGTCACGCATGCAGCGAGCTGCTGGCAGCCCCCGAGGTGAGCCCCCCCCAGGGCACACGGGGAGCGACGGGTGCCTGCAGCGGGGCCATGTGCCGCCCTGCCCCTGCTCACGGCCCCTCTCCCGCAGGCACCTGCCTGCGCCTGTACTCGGAGGCCTTCTATGAGCAGCGCCTGCCTCCCAGCCCCGCGCCCCACGTCAGCGAGACGAGCCTCAGCCGCCTCGTGCTGCTGCTGAAGCGCCTGGACATCGCTGACATGGGCCAGTGCGACTTCCTTGACAGGCCAGGTGGGGCTGAGACAGAGTGCGGCGGGGCTGGGAGGAGAGCCGGGCCAGCTGCGGTCCACGCTCCCTCCAGGCAGGGTGGAAGCGCCCACAGCAGCGGGGCTCCTGCCCTCGGTGGCGCTGCCAGCCGTCTGACCTCCCGCCCCAGCCCCCGAGTCGCTGATGCAAGCGCTGGAGGACCTGGACTACCTGGCCGCCCTGGATGATGACGGGAACCTGTCAGAGGTGGGGATCATCATGTCGGAGTTCCCCCTGGACCCTCAGCTGGCCAAAGCGCTCATCGCCTCCTGCGAGTTCGACTGCGTGGACGAGATGGTCAGCCTGGCTGCCATGCTCACAGGTGGGGGTGGGCGCCGCTCTGCTGCCGCCCAGGGGAGCGATGCAGCCCCCGGCATCCAGCCCGTGTGGGGACCTGTCTGTGCGTCCCCAGCTCCCCCCTGCTTTGTGACTCCTTCCACGCGCCTCGAGGAGGCTGTGACGGCACGCCGGCGGGCCCTGCTGCACCCGGATGGAGACCACTTCACCCTCATCAACATCTTCAATGCCTTCCAGCAGCGTGAGTGCCGGGCAGGGCCGCGACTGGGCAGAACCCCGCGCGCATCCCACAGCTCCTTTGCGCCTTCCTTTGCTTCTCCTGTGCTCAGCGCAGCACCCCGGAGCCTCGGCCCGGCTCTGAGGGCTCCCAGCCCCCGCGCGGGGCTCTCGGCTCCCCGTCCCGCACTGCCGACCCCTCTCTCCCCGCAGACGACATGGATGAGGGCTGGTGCCGCAAACACGCGTTGAGCAGCGAGGCGCTGCGCCTGGCGGGCGTCGTGCGGGCGGAGCTGCTGGAGGTGATGCGGCGCATCGAGCTCCCCGTCTCACCGCCAGCCTTCGGCACCGACGCCAACGTGCTCAACATCCAGAGGGCGCTCATCTCAGGCTACTTCCTCAAGGTGGGCGGGGGGCTGCGAGGGGCCCGGCCGCGTGGGGTGAGCGGCAGGGCCGGCAGCGCCGTCCGCCTCGCTCTCGCTCCCCAGGTGGCCCGGGACATCGACGGCTCCGGCAACTACGTGATGCTGACGCACAAACACGTGGCCCACCTGCCCTCCTCTTGCTGCTACCTGCTGCGACAGCCCCCCCAGCGCCTCCCCCCCTGGGTCCTCTACCACGAGTTCACCATCTCGCAGGACAACTGCCTCCGCGTGGCCTCGGAGATCCAGCCCCAAATGTGAGGATTTGGGAGCCGCTCCCGCGTGCAGCTCCAGCACTGCGGCGGAGCCCCGGCACGACGCCTGGCCTGGGGGGGGGGGGGGGGGGGTGGAGGCAGATGGGGGCCGTTCCCGTTCACGAGGGGTTCCCATCTGTGGGGTTCCCATCTGTGGAGGTGCTCCCGGCGTTGCCCCTGCGGCGTCTGGCCCCCAGCTCCCACCCCCCTCCCCGATCCCCCGTCCCTTGTCCCCGCAGGCTGGTGGAGCTGGCGCCCCAGTACTACCTGAGCAACCTGCCGCCCAGCGAGAGCCGCGATCTGCTCACGGAGCTGCGGGAGAAGGTGGTGGCGGCAGAGGACGTCCCTGAGGCTGCCGAGCCGCTGGAGGAGGCGGCCGGGGGGGAGGGTGAGAACCGGGACGTCTGCGCTCTGCAATGAACGGGAGGCGCCGGAGCCCCCCGCCGCGGGGCTGCCCGGGTTGGGCCGGGACGGCGGGGTGACCGGGAGACGCTGCGCTGCTCCGAGGGCCGAGCCCTGCCCGGGGGCTGCCCTGCCATCGCCTGCGGGAGCGGCCCCTGCTGCTTTCCCCGGGGACGAAGCTGCGCGCTTCGCCCTGAGAGGGGGACGAGGTGCTGGAATTGGCGGCCCGGAGCGTTGTGGGTGTCCCGACCCTGGGGGGGGGTCAAGGCCAGGCTGGATGGGGCCGTGGGCCGCAGGGCTGAGATGGGGGCCCTGCCTGCGGGGAGAGGCGGCTCCTCAGGAGCGATGGAGCCGCTTGTGAATTTTTCCTGTATAAAGTTTTGTGACCTTTACTCCTGGCTTCGTGGAGCGCTTGCCTGCAAAGGGCTTGGGGCAGGGTGGGCTTCGTTCCCCCTCCCCAGCACCCTGCCGTCCCACCAGGATGGCTGCCCACGGTGGATCCCACCACGGCGCTCCTCGCCAGCTGCTGTGAGCCCCCGAGGGCCCTTCTGTGAGCCCAGCACTCACCCTGCCCTGGGCTTGGCAGCGTGATGCGTGGTGCTCTTGCTCACCTCGTGCCTCCAATTCTGGGTACCGTGCTGCCGTCCCCGGTCACAGTGAGGGGCAGCCCTGGCATTTGCATCAAATGTTCCCCCTCCGCAGTTCTTCTTCTACAGAAGTGAAGGGGAAGCTGCGGTGGGTGGGGGAGGCGGGCAGCCGGCTCCGTATTCCAGCTCCCTGCTCCCCCTCGGGAAGGATGGGGCGATGCTCTGGGGGGAGCTGCTGCACTCCTTCCCTGTCCTCAAGGTCCCCCTTCCTGCCCCTGAGGGTTCTCCAGCCCCACAGCTGGTCCCAGTCCTGCATCACTTCCCAGGACCGAGTGAAAGGGCTGGCAAGCAAAGGCTGAGTGGCCCAGCAGCAGGCAAGGTCTGCCCCCCTGCCTGCCTCGAGCCCACGCATGAGGCTCTGCTGTTCCCAGGAAGGGGCCCAGGGATTCCATCTTCCATCACAGCACCTCGAAGGCTGAGCGGACGGTTGGTGACTGAGCCTCCCCACAACCACATCAGTGCCTGGACTTCCCTCTTACTTTCTAGGAACCCCAGAAAGTACGTGACCAGGAGTGATGAGGGCAGCCTATGCCCCCTGCCCCTGTCCCCAGTCTGGCACTGCTCTGCCCCTAGGATGGAGGATGGGGACTTGCAGAGACCCCCCTGCCCAGGGCTGCTGCCCCTCATCCCCATCCCCACCACCTGCTGCCCCTCGTCTCCGTCCACCCCTGTTCTTGCCCCACATCTGCCTCCCTTTCAGTGCTGGAGCCAATTTGTGTGGTGAAAGCCGTCCCTGCTCCTGTTTGGGGATGGCAGCTCCAACCCATCCTCCATCCTGCGCTGTCAGAATGGGGACAATTCACCCTGGGCTACAGGGCTCCCCGTCACTTGTGGGGGGCAGTAGGGCAGGATGGGGGATGCTCCCACCCAGGGGTGCCCCTGCCCCTTCCCCGTTGGCTGGGGCCATCGCCAGGCCGTTGCCTGGGTGCGCACCCCCGAGCTGGGCGCTGCCGCAGGCTCTGCCGTCCCTTCCCCTCTCCCCTGACGTGCCTCCCTAAAATCCTCCCCTATGGATCCCAGTGTTGGAGGGCACCCCGTGGGAGCCGGGACCGGAGGAGCTCCAGCACCGCCTCGGGCGGCCTCGCGCTGCCGCGCGGTCCAGGGCACAGCGTGGCGCTCGCGGCGTCCCCGCTCCAAGCAGGGCTCGCACCGAGGCCGGCTGGGCTGGAGCCGATGGCGGGTGCCGGTCCTCAGCTCCGCCCTGCGCCGCTTTCTCCTCTTCTGAGAACTGTGATGCTGCTGCGGTTTGCCTTCACCTTGGGGCAGCCCCGCGGGGTCGCGGCTCGCTATAAACGCGGCAGCTCCCGGCCCTCAGAACCAGCGGGAGCAGCGCACGCAGAGGTAGGCAGGGGCGACTCTGGGGGGCGACGGGGAGCCGGAAAGGCGCTGCCCCACTCGGGCGCTCCCTGCCCGGGGCCGTGCCGGGAAGGGCTGGGAGCTGCGCCCACCGCCCACCGAGCGGTGCTTTCCCAGCCGCTGCCCCCGGCTCCTCTCGCTCTGCCCACCCCCGCTGCGCCCCGGAACGGCTGCGCCCCGGCTCCGCTCCTCCCGGGATCCAACGCCGCGTTCCCTCGCGCTGCCCCTCTCCCTACAGATGCCGGTCCCGGTGCTCCTGGCGCTGTGCGTCGCCCTTACGGACGCCCTGACCGCCTTCCCCCCGAAGTGTGAGTGCGAGAGGGGCCGGGGGGGCTTCAGAGAGGGACACTCGGCGCAGGGAGGGATGGGGAGCGGATAGGGGGCGACGGAGCAGGCTGGGGGCCGCGGGTGGATCGTAGCTGGGGCGGGGGGCACCCAGACCCACCACAGCGCAGGCGGCAGAGCGACCGCAGCCTCTGCACTTCACCTCCAGTTCTGGTGGGGAACCTGAACAAGGACGTGGTGGTGAAATGCAACACCTGGAAGCCGCGGGTGACCTGGACGCAGAACGGGGAGCCGGAGCCCATGGCTGAGCTCGTGGCCGAGGGACAGACTCTCACCATCATCGGCTTGGACCTGCCGGCCACCGGCAACTACAGCTGCTGGGATGGCGGCGTCCTGCTGGACAGCATCTACGTGGTGGTCGGGGACAGCGGTACCTGGGGCAGGGGGGGCGCGGGATGACGGGGGCGCGGCGACAGGAGAGAGCAGTGGGGAGGGATGTGCGACGTTGGGCAGGATGGGCAGACGTGGGGTGATGGGACGGGGTGGAGACAGACGAGGAGTGATGGGGAAGGGTGGGGAAGGATGGAACGAGCGTGGGGGCAGGCAGGGGACCCGCCTGACACGCTGTACGGGGATGGGGAAGACCGTGCTGCTGCCTGCAGGACAGAGGACGCACGCGGGCAGGGCTGTGCGGGGCGGTTTGGGGAAGGGGCACACAGCTCAGCCCCGCAGACCCCAACCCTTTGTCCCCGGTCCTGTCAGGAGAGGAGGGCAGGGACGCCTCCTGCCAGGCCGACTCCTACCGCGGCTCCTTCCGCTGCTCCTGGACGGGGCCCCGCTCCGCCGTCTTCCGCGCCCGCCTCACACACAGGTGGGTATCGCAGCCCCCAGCCCGGCCCCGCGGGCTCCCCACGCTCACGCTGCCTTCCTGCACAGCGACGGCTCCGTCGGGGACTGGGTGCCAGCAGCGGGGCACGGCGGGCAGTTCAACGCCACCTTCACGGACCCCTCCTTCTGCCCCTTCGCAGAGGAGCTGCGCCCGCTGCAGCTGCGCTTCGAGGGGATCTCGGACACCTCCTTCCTCAACTTCTCCATCCATTTCTTTGTCCGTGATATCGGTGAGCTCAGCCCACGGACGGCCCCGGGGTGGGGGTCAGGGTGCCGGGAAGCCCGGCGGGCCGCAGCCCCACGCTGAGCCCCGCTGTGCTCTGCTGCCCGCAGTGCGGCCCGACCCCCCGCAGGCGCTGACCGCGCAGCTCCAGGAGGGGCGGCTCCACCTGGCCTGGGCCCCCCCGGCCTCCTGGCCGCTCCCCAAGTCCTACTTCGCCCTCCTCTACTGGCTGCAGTACGAGCTCCCCAACGGCACCAAGGTAACGGGGCCCGCACCCCCACTGCCCCCCACCCGCACCGCTGTGCGCTCAGCCTCCCTCTGCCCACACGACCAAAACCTCCCCCCGCCTCTCCCTCAGCGCAGCAGCATCGTTAGGAGCAGTTGCTTGGTGACCCCCGGGGCGTGGGGAGGAGGGAGGTTGGGAAGTTGTCGCTCCCAGCTGTCACCTCTGCTTCCCCCCAGCACTGCCTAAGTGAGGCAGCATCACTGCCTGGGACGGGGAAGAACTGCAGCTCCCCACTGCTGTGCCCCAGCTTCAAGCGCTGTGCCTCCAGGCGGTCGCGGCGCCCCTCCTCAAGCTGTGACCAAACCCCCTTTGCAGGTTGATGCTTTCGTGGAGGGCACGGAGAAGACGAGCCTGCAGGAGCGCGTGCGGCGGGTGCGCATCAGCTGCCAGGACCCCTACAGCTACACCAACAGCTCCTGGAGCCCCTGGAGCGGATGGCGGGAGGTGGACGCAGCCTGGCTGCAGCAGGGCTGAGGGGCGCACGGCCCTCAGGGGGGTGTGGGGTGGAGGGGGCTGAGGGGCAGCACCCCGGGGTGAGGCACCCAAAGCCGCCCAGTGCCGACATTCCCATCCACTTCTGTTGTATCGAAGCGCTTTTTCTTAACCTCTGTAACAGAGCTGAGCTTGGCTTTTCTGTGAAAAACCTCAGTCGGGGCGCGTGGGGCAGAGCGGGGCTCTGGGCCCTGTAGCTCCCAGCCCTGCTTTGCCACTCCCCCGGCATCCTGCAGGACATCCAGCCGGCAGCTCCAGCTGGGGGCTGCGGCGGGTGGGAACGAGCGCAGACCCCGCAGCCAGGCCTCGTTGGCAGGAAATGGCCCACAGACCACGCAGCCGTGGAGCAGCGCCGGGCACGGCCTCAGCCGCAGCCCCACGCACACGGAGCTGCCGGGGGTCGCGGCCCCATCACGCGGAGCGCTGGGCGCTGGGTAATGCCACGGGGCGTTTATTGAGGCGCTCCCGCGTGGACCAGGGCCGGGACTGCAGCCCTGCTGCCGCTCTGGAGAGGCTGGTGAGACTGGTGTGCGGCCCGGGGCGCTGCCCCGCCGGGGAGTGGGGGCCTCCCGGGGACGTCGGCGGAGCCCAGGGCTCCCGTGGCAAAGGGGTCCGGAAGGACCGGGTTCCAGGAGTCCGGGGGTCCCGTGGCTCGGGAGTGGAGGGCGCTCCAGGGGGCCGGGGGGCACGGAGGGCCCCGCAGAACAGCAGCCCGGTGCCGGGAGCCCGGGGGGTTCCGGCGGTCCCCGGTCCGCAGCGAAGGGGTGGGCGCCCCGTCACGGCGGTACCACGGCACCCAGGCGCAGCTCCTCCCCTTCCAGCATCTCCCTGCAAGAAAGGGGTTCCTCTGAGCCCCGCGACCGCCGCGTTCCCCCCGCCCCCACCCGCGCCCCCTCCCCGTACCGATACGCGGCGATCTCCGCGTCCAGCGCCATCCGCAGCCGCAGCAGCGCGGGGTACTCCCGGAGGCACCGCGCCATCTCCTGCTCCGCTTCGCCGATCTGCCGCTCCAGCTCCGCCACCCGCTCCTGCGGTCGGGCCGTCAGGGCCAACCCGGCACCCCGACCCGGACCGCGACACCCCCAGCCCAGCCGCCCCCCGGCCGCCGTTGTCCCCCAGCTGCGGCCGCACCCCGCGGCAGCGCTCCCCACATCCAGACTCCGCGCCCCCCTTAACGAGGCGCCCCCAATCCTCGCACTCATCTGCCCCCAACCCAAGCGTCCACTCCCCTTCCTCTGAGACCCCACACAGCCGGGACCCGCCGTTCCAGCCCCATCGCGCACCACCCCCCGGCTCACACCTCCCGGCCGGCCCCCCGAGCACCCCAACACCCTTCCCGCATTACCTGATACTTGGCGAGCTCCCCGCTGCGCCGGTCGCGGAGCCCCTCCAGCTGCCGATGCAGCGCTCCCACGGCCCCGCGCAGCGCCTCCACCTCCGCCGCGCGGGCGCGGAGCAGCCGCCGGTACCCCGCAGCCTCTGCGCGGGCGCGGAGCACGGCCTCGCCGCCCCGGGAGCGGGGAGAGCAGCGGGGCCCGGACCAGCCCAGCGCGCAGCCTTCCGGGCCGTCCTCCCCCCCGCCGGGGCCGCCCGCGCTCATCCCGGCGGCTCTGCGGCGGCGCGGCGGCGGCGGCTCCCCCCTCCCGGTCCGACGGGCCGCGTCACCGAGTCGCAGCCAATCCCGCCGTCGGGAAACCGGCACCGGCGGCCCCGCCTCCTCCCGGGAGCGTTGCGGGAGCGGCGGGACGCTGCCCGCCCCCCCGGTCCGTAACCCAATGAGCTGCGAGAACCGGCGGGGCCGGGCAGCGTCCCGCCGGCACCGCAGGCTCCCGGCGCGCCCCCAGGGGTCCCGGTTCGGGCTGCCGTCCCCGCGGTCCCCGTGAGTGCCGGTGCGCGACCTCCGCTCCCGGGTCTTTTCCCGTCCACCGCGTCGCGTCCCGGCAGCACCACGAACCGGGGCCGGGTTGGGGTCAGCGGGGAGGTCAAGGTCAAAATCGGGGTCGCTATTAGGGTTGGGGTCGGGGCCTCAGCCCAGTTAGCAGCGGGACCCGGCTGGAGCTGGCTGTGAGGGTCCCGTGGCCCAGCCCCGCATTGTCTGAGTCCCGGCCTGGCTGCACCCCCTGCTGGGACACACGGGGGGGTGGAAGTTCACCGGGTGACCCAGAAGAGCCACTGCCCCCATTGTCTGCATCGTGCCACACCAAAAGTTCAGCCCCACACTGAGACACAGAGAGGGGAGGAAGCAGAGGTGGCCCCTGGAGCAGTTTCTGGGGGGGCTGCTGCCCCCCACCACCACGTGGGGGGACCCTGTGCCCATCGTCCAGGCCCAGAGCTGCAGACGGGGGCCGGGAGCACCGGGAGCCCCCCGTGTGGCCGACAAACTCCATCTGTCCGGTGTGCGGGGAACGCTGGGCCAGCGATGGGACCCCCCAGCTGGAAGCCAAAGCTGATGGACTCTGACTCGTCCGGATACCAGGATGCTTGTGAGGGACGCTGCCCCACGACGAACGGGGGCAGCAGTGAGTTTCCAGCACCGGGAATGTGCGAGTCCAGGGGATGCCACCCCCCGGCTCTGCCCTCCCTGGGCAGGATGGGCGCCTGGGGGCTGTCCCAGCACATGGAGCCGCTGAAGGGGTTCGGGCCCCGAGGAGCTGCACGGGGTGGGCGGCCCCCCCAGAGGCTCCGGGCTGGCAGAGGCACATGGGATGAAAGCTGGGGGGGGGGGGGGGGCCGTCCACCCGCTCAGAGTCCACCTGCCCAGGGCTGCTGCTCCACCAGGGCAGTGAGGGGGCCCGGATGTGGTGTGGGGAGGGGGCTGCCGCTCAGGGTGGCACCGGGAAGCAGCAGCCCCCTCCCCTCCCCTTCGCTGGGCATCGGGGTGGCCTCGCATCCCTCCAGGCCAAAGCCCCCATCAGTTCGGGGCCCCCGGGGGCACAGGGGCTCCCATCCGCCACGCAGCGCCCTCAGACCACGGAGGCCACCCCCGAGACGGACGTCACCTTATTGTCCTCGGCCCAGGGCTGCAGGTTCTGCAGGGCGTACAGCGAGGAGTTGTGCATGCAGAGCGGGTCCTGCGGCAGCGGCTGGCTCAGGCTCTTCTGGAAAGCCTCCTGCTGCAGGTGCAGCATCAGCCGGTTGGCCTGCTGCCGCTCCGCCTCGCGCTCCTCCGCCGTCTGCCTCCTGCAGGGGCCGTGGTGAGGGCTGGGCTCTAGGATGGACGGGGACGGCACCTCCCCCCCCCCCGGGATGCGGGCAAAGCAGCCGAGCAGCACCGGGAGGAGCCGCAGGTGAAACCCCGCTCCTCCCCCCCCCTTACCTCCACTTGGTGCGGCGGTTCTGGAACCAGGTTTTGACCTGCGCGTCCGTCATCTTGAGGGCTTTGGCCAGCGTGGCTCTCTCGGCCGACGCCAGGTATTTCTGGCGGTGGAAGCGCTTCTCCAGCTCGCAGATCTGCACGCGGCTGAAGGAGGTGCGCGGCTTCTTCCGCTTGGGCGGCGTGCGGTTCTGGTACGGGTGCCCGATGCGCCGGGTTGCCGCGAAGGGCGAAAGCGCGGCTGTGGGCAGAGGGGGGCGAGCGGCTGTGCAGGGGTGTGGGGAGCGGGCACGGCACAGCCCCGGCCCTCGCTTCAGCCGCCGGCGGGGAATGGGGCCAAGAGCATCCTGCAGGGAGCTGCCGGGACGGCACGGCCCTCGGGCAGCACCGAGCGCAGAGGGGGATGTGGGCCGAGCAGCTTTGTGGGAGCTGTGGGGAGGGGGCGAGGAGGGATTCCCCACATCCTGATCGTAAGAGGACGCGGCGCCGCTAAACGTGGTCGGGGGGCTCATGGCACCTCCTGCCGTGGCTCTGAGTGCGCCTGAGCCCCAGGGGGACCCAGCAGCCAGGACCCCCGGCCTCACCAAGAAGCGCAGTGGTCCCACCGCCAGGGTCACGGAGGGCTCCAGGCAGCACAAACCCGGCCCTGTTCCCAGCACCGCGCTGCGCCGAAGCCCCGCCGCCTCCCAGCACTCCCTGCGGAGGGAATGGGACCCGGAGGCCATCGGAGGCAGCTGATGGCTCCTTCCCTTCGCACGCAGCGGCCTCTGGGTTGACCGCCCTGCAGCCGCTGGGGGCGGGGGGCTGGGGAGGGGGCTGCCACCTCCCATAGGGACACGGGGACGAGGCCACGGGAGCGTCAGGACAGCAAAGGGCCGGGAGGAGGACGGAGCCGGGCCGTGTGCTTGCAGCGCAGGCGACACCGCGGCCGTCGCCAACACCGCACCGCATGGGCAGCGCTGCGCCAACGCGCCGCCACGGGGCTGCCGTGGGGCTCCAGCACCCCACAGCTGTGGGGCACGGGGCAGACCCTACGGCAGGCCCCAGGGACGGATCACCCGTGCCCCACACCCCAGCAGTGTGGTGGGAAGGCGTCTGCCCGCGGCGGGGGAGGAAGCGCTCGGCGCAGGTGGAGCTGCACAGTCGGGGGGATGGACGGACGCCCCCGTGCCCCCTCCCCACACGGGGCGGCCCCTGACTGCAAACAGATGCCGACAGCCCCAACATCACCCCAAGGCTCCAACGCTGAGTGATGGCTACGGCTGGGAGACCCCGTGCCGGGGAGGGGCCGCCGTGTCCCCCCACCGCTGGCGCCAGGCAGGAGACGGGGACGTCACCAACGGCCATGCGCGGGGACGGCGCTCCATCACCCACGGGTGGGCCGGGAGGCGAACCCGGCTCTGATGGTGCCGGGATGGGCTCCCATACCCCCAGACCTCCCAACCCACAGGGCCCAGCCCTTGCAGCCTCCAGAGCCCCCACAGCCCCCGCAGCCTCGTCCGCCGCCCTCGTCCCCACACAGGGCCGTGCTGCGGACGTGGCAGAGCCGCCATCTTGGGAAGGAGCCGCACTCAGCCTCGCTCACAGCCCCTCGCTCACCCCACCGGCACCCAGCACCGGGCACCAGCACCCCACACCCTCCGTAAAGGGGGTCAGAACCCCCACCAACCACCCTGAGCTGCTCCAGCCACGCACCCCACACACGGCTCCATCGGCTGCACCCACCGCTCTCCCCAACGCTCCCTCACAACCCAGCCTTGGCTTCGCCCCAAACCCGGCATCCAGCAGCCCCGCATCCATCCCCATACACACACACACGGATCTGCACACCCCGCACAGCCCCGTCCTCCTCCCAACACATCCCACAACCCAGCACAACGACCACAGCACAGCACGGGCTCACAGCCACGCCAGCACCTCCCCGTCATGTCCCCAGCCCCACAACCGTCCCCACCGCATCCGCAGTCATGCAGACACCCCGCAGCACAGGCCCCAGTTCCGCACACACTGCACAACGTGGGCTCACAGCCCCGCTGTCGGGATTCCAGCCCCGCGGTCACCCCACAGTGTGGGCTCACATCCCTCTGCCAGGCGCCCAGCCCTGCAGACACCGCGTGCTGTTTTCTCCCCACGCCGCCCCGCTCCCACACACAGCTGGGCATCACTGTGTGCCCCACACAGGGTCCTCGCTCCCCATTCCCTCGCACGGCATCCCTCCTCCCGCCGGCCCGGGGCCGCAGCCCCGCGGTTGTAACAGGTCGGTGCTGCGGAGCCCGCGGCCGAAGCACGGCGGGACCTCCCGGCACTTCGCAGGGAGCGGCAGCGGCGAAGCTCCGGCTCCGACGGGAACCGGGACCCGGGGCCGCCGGGGGCAGCGCCCACCCGGAGCCGCTGCGCGCGGTCCCCGACGGCGGCCGCGTCCCGGTGCGCGGTGCTGCGGCGAGCGGGGCGGTTCGGAGGGAGCCCGGCCCCGGCACGGCAGCGTTCGGCGGCCTCCGGCGCACCGTAGAAGCAGCCGCACGCACGGCACAGGCGGAGCGCGGCCGGTTCCGGCACAGCTCCCCGGCGCGGACGGTTCCCCGCTCCGAGCCGCTGCCCCCGCTCCGCTCCGGCTCCCGTTCAGCCGCCGCTCCGCGCCGCGCGCCGTCGGTGCCGCCGAGAGCCGTCGGAGCGGAGCGCTCACCTGAGAGCCGATCCTTGGCGATGCGCCGCGTCGTCTCCATCCAGGGGAAGGTGAGCCCCGACAGCCCCGGCACCGGCGGCGGCGCGGCGGGAGGTGCGGGCGGCGCGGGTCGGTGCGCGGGGACGCGGATGACCCCGGCGGGCGGCGCGGCGGGCGCGGGGGTCACGTTCACGCTCACGTTCATGCTCATGTTGAGGTTGTAGGACCCGAGCGAGCAGGCGGGGCCGTAGCCGCCGCCGTACAGCCCGGGGTAGTCGGGCTCTCCGGCAGCCCGCGCCGGCCCCGCGCCGCCCGGGGGCTCCGGGCCGCTGAGGATCTGGTCGATGCCGAAGCTGATGGGCTCGTGGGGAGCGGGAGCCGCGCCGCCGCCCTCCCGCGCCAGCGCCGCCGCCGCCGCCTCCATGGCCCCGCCGCGCTCAGAGTCGGGGCATCGCGGGGCCGCCTAGGCGCGGGGGGCGGCCGCGGGCTGCGGGGCGCTGCGGGGGGGGCGGCGGGCAGCGGGCGGTGGCCGAGGCCGGGGCAGGGAATGGGGCATGGCCCGCGGCGGAGGCGGCTGCTGGCGGCCGCGGGCTGCGGGCTGCGGGGCGCGGCGGGGCCCCCCGGCTGCACGCGCTTTTCTGCCCCGCTCCATCTGGAGCTGCCAAAATCTCGGCCGCCCGCCCGCTGATTGGCGGCCGCGCCCCGTGATGGACAGCCCGCGCCCTCTGGGGCGGGGGCTCGCGCATCCCGGGGCCACGCCCCGGCACCGGCCCCCTCCCCGGCCTCGGCACCGGCCCTTCCACCCCACCCCCCGCCCGGCCCTCGGCCCGCCGGGATCCCCCGGACCACCGCGGCTCGGCGCGGGCAGCGCGTCTCCGGGGTCTCCTGTCGGGGTCCGTCGGAAGCGCGGCGGTGGGGGAGGAGGCGCGTCGCGGTCCCCGCCGCCCGGAGAGCCGCCGGGCTCGGAGCGGTGGAACGGCGGAGCGGTGGAGCGGTCCCAGCGTGACATCGGGCAGCGACGCGGCGCACCTCCTCGCACCGCCCTGCCCCGTCTCCGGTACCGTCGGGGCGCTCGGAGCGCAGCACCGGGGCCGCCACCCGCCCTCCCCCGCCGTGTCGGAGCCGCCCCGTTCTCCGGGCGGACATCTCCGCGCCTTTCAGGGCGCACAGAGCGGCCCCGGTGCCGTTATGCGTTCACGTGGGGCCGCTCCCCGAGCCCGGGGCGCTCCGGTGCTTCGTTCCCCGCCGCTGTCCGCACGTACCGACCGCGGCCACTCCGACCCCGCAGCAAACAGATCCGGTGCCCGCCGCTCCCGGGGCACGGATCTACGTTTGCTCCCACCCGCCGCTCCCTGCGGCGTGGATCCGGTTACCGCTGATCCGCCTTTACCGACAGCGCGCACCCGCCTCCCACGGCCGGTCTGCTTCGGTGACACGGAGCCCAGAGCCGGGCCCCTCCGCGAGGCTCGGATCTGGCACGGAGGGTGGCCCGGGCTCGGCGCCCACCCGCACACCGGGCACGCATCGGGCGGTCGCGGCCAAAGCGGGGCAGTGCGGTCCTGACCGGGCCCTTGACGACTGTCGCGATAGCGCCTGGCCGCGGCCTCGGGTTCGGTGGGTCAGGGCCGATGGGTGCCGGGTCCCGGTTCAGGGCGAGGGCGGCGGGTCACGTCCCCGGGGCAAGGGCCGGAGCGGGAGGGGCCGCCCGTCCGCCCTGGCGCCACCGGTCTGGGGCAAATGACATTACCGGGGCTGCGCCTGTAAATCACGGCGGCACCGGGAGCAGCAGCTGCTGCGGCCCGAGGGCACGGCACGGCCCGGGGGCATCGCAGGGCTCGGGGGCACCGGGCGGAGCCGGGCCCGGCGGGACGCGCTGTTCCATGCGGTGTGGGGCTTCATTGGGTGCCGCGTGGGGGGCACAAACACACGCACACACAAACACACGCACACACACCGAGGGGGGACTCAGTCTGCACACACGTGCGTTTGCACACCCTGCAGAGCAGCACAGAGAATGCAGCGCCGATACACACACACACACGGCGTTGCTCACACCCAGCTCCGCAGCACCGCCCCACGCGTGCACACCCACCCACCGCGGCGCGCAGGCACGCGCAGCCCACGGCTCAGCACGGCTGCATCGCATCCACGGAGCCACCCGCACCGCCTGCACTGCGCACACGAGCAGCCACACAGTGCGACCGTGCACACGGGGGGCGGGGAGGGGGGGCACCCAGTCGGACTGTCCGCAGCTGCGCCCACCCCCCCTGTGCGCACACGCACCCCACGCTCCCCTCCCCGTGCCCACACAGCTCCCTGTGTACACACAACACACACAACACACACAACACACCACTGGCCCACGCCGGGTTCACCCCACCCTACACGGGTAGGCACAGCCTGGACCCCCCCGCACCCGGAGCTCCCCGGTGCCAACGGCTCGGGTCCCGTGCGTGGACACGCACCAAATGCGGCCCGACCCGCAGCACCGCAGCCCTCAGGTGGGGGGAGGAAACTCCTCGTGCCGGGGGGGGGGCGGCAGCGGGTTAATTAAACCGAGAGCGGGAGGCAGCTGTGTGCAAGCGCCCAGGGGCTGGAATGCCGCGCGGTCCGGGAGATGGATTGGGGGGCAGGGGATGAGCCCGCGGCACCCGCCCGTGTCACCGCCACCTCCGCCCCGCGCCCGCGGGAGCTGCAAAGCGCGTCCCGGCCCCGCTGCGGTGCTCACCGACCCACTCGGGGTGAGGAGCAGAGCTGGGGGCCGTGCGGGGTCTGGTGACGGTGGGGCACACGGAGCGGGGAGCTCAGCCCGGGCTGGGGGGACCAGGAGAAGCCCGAGCCTCGGGCAGTGCTGGAACAGAGGGCGCTCGGTGAGACCGGCGCCACGGCGGCTCGGGGTTCTCTTTCCAGGAATCCTCACAGGCCCCAAAGCCTCCCCACCGGCATCTCCCAGTTTCGCTGCTTCCGTGCCCCGTGAGCCTCTCACGGCAGCGGCCGCCGCCGGGCTGCCCCACGGCTCTGCCCGGCACCGCGGGGCTCCGCCGAGGGACCCTCGCACACACCTGCAACGAGACAGGGCTGGGAGCAGCCCGACGCACTCAGACACCGCTCTGCACCTCGTTCCCCCCCCCCGCAGCTCACACCCCTGTGGTCTCCAACGCGCGGCCCCACCGATCTGCCCTGTGGGCTGGCACCCGCTGCCGCTGACAGCTGCAAGACGATGGGGCAGAGGGTGGGAAATCAGCCTTCAGTCCCACGGCGCTGCCCGCAGTGAGCGCAGCACCAGGCCCTGCTGCTGCCGGAGCCGCACAGGGGCCGTGAGCTGAGCAGAGCTGCACCCCAGCATCCCGCTGCCCCGCAGGGCTCCCAACCCTCGGCACAGCCGTGAGGATGGATGCACAGATCCCACGGCCTTCGCACGGCTCTTCCATCACCGCAGCCGACCCCCGCGTGTCCCCTCCCCCCCCCCCGGGCTGCCGCTCTGCAGCTCACGGAGCCCCGCAGCCCCGCGCCGACGTCCCCGTGCCCCGCACGGCTCCCTGCCGGGCTCGGGCGCTCTGCCGGGGGGCAGGACGGAGTACCGCGGGTCGCTGCCCGCCCCTCGCCGCTGCCAGCCGCTCCAGCGCGCGGCAATTAAGCGGCGGAGGCCTGGCCGGGCCCCACGTTACCACCGGGAGCTGCTGCCAAGCCGCCCTCTCCCGCCCGCTCCCCCTCTAATCTCATTATCGCTGGACGTCCCCTTCTTCCTCCCGCTTCCCCCCCAAACCCGCTGGCAAACTGTAGGGACAGTCAGCTCCTCTCTGGCTGCTGGGTTAATTCTGGGCTAATTAGATGAAGCCAGCCCAGATTGGATTACTTTAGCCTGCATTTGGTCCTCCAGTCCTTGACTTGCGGCTCCCGTGGGAGCTGCTGGCGCCTCCTGCCTCAATCAGACACTTCTTAACCGCATGAAACACTCCCGGTGCCCCGCACCCGCCGGCCCCGGGCCGGGCGCTGGCAGCCGCTGGGTGCGGGGGTGACGCGGTGGCACGCACGCTTCGCTCCCCCCGGTAACGACCGGCAGCGCCGGGCCGGGCCGAGCACTCGGGCAACCGCACCGCGCTGCCACGGCCCCGCACACCGCGCCCCGCACACCGCGCCCCGACGACCTGCGACGGCCGAAGCCGCCCCGGTCGGACGTCACCGCGGTGACCGTCGGCGGCTGCGCAGCGCCTTCGGGGAGGAGCTGTGCGCTACGGGCGGCTGTGTGCGCCGGCCCCGAGCTGCGCCGGTGCGCTGCCCGCCGGGCTGCGGCCGCGGGGCGGGGCGGGGGCGCGGAGATGGGGCTCGGGGCGGCCTCTGGGGAACGGGGACTCCGGGCCGGGGGCAGCGTGGGCGCTGCTGTCCCCCCGCGTCCCCCTCCGGCCGCTCTATGGGACGGGAGCGGGAGGCGGGAGGCGCGGTGGGGGGGGGGGAGCGGAGCAGCCCCGCTGTCCTGAAGGGTGCGGGGGGATCCCACTGCAATCAGCGGGGTCGACGGCCGAGGCCCCGAAGCTTCCGTGGGGCTGACGGGTCAGGGCGTGGGGCTGCGGCCGTGGGGCAGGATGCGGGGTGCTGGAGGAGCAGGAGAGCGGGAGGGGGGCGGTGCGCGGCCCCCGGCCCTGCAGTGTGTGCCGCGCGTCCCATCCCGGGCTCCCGCTGCCCCCATCCCCGCGGGGGTCGGGTTATTCTGGGGGATTCGCTCCCCCCGCTCCCCCGAGGCTGCGGGTTCTGCCCGGCGGGCCGGGGCTGCGCGGGCCGGGGGGCGCCGAGTGCCCGCAGCTCTCTGTGTGCCGCGGGGCCGTTGACAGAAACCGTCGCTCAGAACCTCGTTATCAAAGGCCGAGGGCAGGTAATTGGATTCTGCAAATCCAATCAGGTGCATTAGGCAGGGAGTTCAGTCCATAACCAGTGCCCAGCCCCCCCCCCCCCCCCCCTCAGCCCCCCGCCCCGCGGCCGCGTTGCCACGAACCCCCCGGCGCCGGCCATCTCCGGAGCCCCCCAGCACCGGGACTCTCGGGGTTGGTCCTGGTGTGGGGCTGGGGGCCCCGCGCTGAGGCCGGGAAGGGGCCGACGGCACCGGGGGCGGCAGCGGGATGGGCGGCCCCGGCCCGGAGCTCTGCTGCTCTGTGCCATCCCGAGTTGCTCCGGGCTCAGCACGGTGCCCCCGCACCGGGCACGGCCCGCCCGCCCCGCACCCCAGGGCCGGGAAAGCCCCCGCAGCGCTTACCAGAAGGAGCCGCCCAGCCCCGCGCGGCGGAAATGGAGCTGAATATTTGAGCAGGTCTCCGCTAAAAGCCCCGGCCCGCCCCGCAGCCCCGCGGAGCTCAGGGGTGCATTAATTATGTATCTGCGGATGGAGTCGCGCGGCCCCGCGCTGCCGGGCTGCAAACGGTCGGTGGGGCGCATCGGTCCCCACTGCAGCCCTTGACCCCCCGGGCCCCATCTCCATCCCCAGCCGTGTTCCTGCCCGGCGTGGCGCTGCCGCTGTGCCAGGGCACGAGCAGTGTGAGGTGCCAGATGTGCCCTGGCTACAGAGGTGTGCAATGCAGGGGCACAGACGGCACAGAGCATCACGAGGGCGGTGGGGAGGGGGCACCTCGAGGGCAGAGAGCAGCGCATCCCCAGGTGAGCCGCCCCACGTGCTGCTGGGCTCCCCTCGGCGCCCACCCTGCGGCCCCTTTCCGGGCCTGTCCTGTCCCAGCTGAGCTCCCACAGCCCCAGCATCACCGCCTGGGTCACGGTGCTGAAAGGCTGCGTGTGGCCCCTACAGACACGGCTGGATGCGCCAGGGAGCGTGCAGGGAGCTGCACGGCAAGGAGGCTGCACTCGTGGAGTCATTAGGGTAGGAAGGACCACAGAGATCGCCCGTTCCAGCCATCAGCCCGTGGCTGCTCCAGGCCGTGTGACCCGCGGCGCCGCTCGGTGCTGGGCGCCCATCCTCAGCACGATGCTGCTGTCGGTGCACTGCCGGTCCTCAGCCCGGTGCCGGCACGTGGTGCAGGACGGTGCTGGCAGTGAGTGATGCTGCCTTGGCCCCAGGGCTGTGCTGGCCCAGCTGTGACCCTCGCAGCCCCCCAGCAGGCCGTCCCTCCCAGGAACTGCTCCTGGCAGGTACAAATGGGGCCGGGCCCTCCCAGACACGGGCGGTCACCCCGGCCCCTGCCTCATTTCTCACCGCCCAGCAAGGACGGGGTCGGGGATGGGGCGGGGTCGGGGATGGGGCAGGCTCCAACCAGCAGTGGAGGGGCTTTCACGGGCCCACGGGCCCCCTGGAGCGCCCGGATTCCCCTCCTGGGCTGGGGGTGATGGAGCACGGCGGGAGGCGGGGGGGGGGGCGGATGGCTGACAGCTCAGCGACACGGCGGAGGATTCACGGCAGGGCCGGGCTGCATCACACGGATGTGGGGAGCCAAGCCAGCCTGGCCAGCCCTATCCAGCCCAGGAATAGGGCCGAATTGTGCTGGATGGGATGTGGAGGAGCTGAGGTGGCCGAGGCCGAGCTCAGAGCTGTGCCCAGGACCGGGGAGTCCGGCAGGGATGAGGAGGAGCTGGGAGGACCAGCAGCAGCACCCAGCCAGGCCAGCGGCTCGCAGGGCTCGGTGTGACGGGTTGTTGTGGCCCGCGGCTCGGCGTCCGGATCTTCCTCCGAAGGCTCTCGGTCCCGCACGCCCAATCAATGAGCGGAGCTCGCTCGGCTCCTGCGGGCACCGTGGGGATGCGGAGCCCCGCCCTGCGCAGCCGAGCCCGGACCGAAGCAACAAAGCGGAGCCGCTGCAGGTCCCGTGCGCTCCGTGCCCGGCCCCGCACCCCCGGCCCCGGTAGCCGTGACGGCGGCTCTGCTCGAGTTTAACGGCACCCCGATCCCGACTCCCCCCCACACACAGCGCCGGGGCCGCCCAACAGCGCCGGGCGCCCGCTCCGGGTCCCACGGGGCCGCGCCGTCTGCCCGCCCCGGCCCCGGCCCCGGCGGCTCCCCAGGCAGCACTTGTTGCTGGGGATTGCAGCAATAATCGTAACCGTAACGAGCCATTACGGCCGTTAACAGCTTCTGCTTTGCATTAGCGGGGCCGCTCCTTCCCCTCCAGAGCCCTGATCCAATCACCCCCATTAGCGCGGCTCCAGGCTCCGGCTGCTGCGCCGGGGAGGCCGCCCGGCCCCGGCAGAGCCCCCCGCCCCCGGCCCCGCTCCTCAACACCACCCCTAAGCCGCCGTGCCCCGCAGCCCCGGCCCTTCGCATCCGCTGCCCCCCCCCCAACCCCAACCCTCAGGCAGCCCCGGGCAGGTGCTTGCCGTGCCCACGGCCGGCACCAGGGCTGCCCCACGGAGCCCCCGGCCCCACACGTGGCAGAGCAGGGGGGCCCGGGGGTCGTCACTTTGGGCATTCAGGCCATCCCTGCCCCAATCAGTGCAACCACGCTGCTGAACCCTCACTCCCCGCTCCCTTGACAGCCCCATTCCCTCCCCATCCCCATTCATCCCACAGCCCCGCTGAGGCCGTTCCCATCCCATTCAGGACATTCCTGGTGGTCCCCCATCAGTGCCCTTACACTGCCGTACACCCTATGCCCCAAGACCCCCATTTTCCCCCATCTCATTATCTCAGGCACCTCATTCCCCTCATACCCCATTCCCCAGGAGCCCATTATCCCCCCTCAGCCCCCATTCACCCCAGTGCTCCCATTCGTTCACGTGCTCATCCCAGCTCTCCCCATTTCCCCCCTATCCCACTCCCTCAGGCACCTCATTCCCCTTATATCCCGTTTCCCAGGACCCCATTATCCTTTCCTCCTCAGCTCCCATTCACCCCAGGTCCCCATTACCCCTCGCACCCCATTCAGTGCCCTCATTCACTCACACATTCACCCCACTTACCCCCATTCACCCATCTTCATCCCATTCACCCCAGTGACCCCATCCATGCCCGTCTTTCCCAATTAATTCCCCCCAATTCCCCCATCCATTCCCCTCTGTTCCCAGATTCATTCCGCCCACTTCACCCCATTAAATTCCCCTCAATCTCTGTTCTTCCCCCCCGGCCCCCATTCATTCCCCCCCCCCCCCCCGTTCTCTTCCCTCCGTGCCATTCTTGCAGTGATCTGGCGCCCCCTACCGACCGACCGCCGCGGCACTACGCGCTCTCCTATTGGCCGCGGCTGCGCCCTCAAGCCCCGCCCCCCCTCTCCCATTGGCTGCCATCGGAGGGCTGGGCCCGGTCACTGCGTAGCTCCGCGCCAGGTCCGGCAGGGGGCGCCGTTCCCTCCCGTCCCAGCATTCCTGGCGCGGCGCGGGGCACGCCGGGAGCTGTGGTCGCAGGGAGCGGCGCCCAGCCCCGCCCCCGGCCCGAACCCGGAAGTGCGCGGGGGCGGAGGAGGTTCTAAGATGGCGTCGCCTCCTCAGGGGGGCCCGATGGCGATCGCCATGCGGCTACGGAACCAGCTGCAGGCCGTCTACAAGATGGACCCGCTGCGGAACGAGGCGAGCGGCGGCGGGGGGGGGCGGGGGCGGAGCGGGGGGCGCGAGGCGCGCAGGCGCCGTCCTCGGCATTGTGCGCATGCGGACAGCGGGTGGGGACGGGCGGCAGGGGGCGGGGCTTCGGGCGGGGGCGGGGCCTGGAGCAGGTGTGGGGGCGGGGCCACAGAGGGGCGGGGCTTCGGCACCTGTGCACGAGACGGCATGGGGCCGTGGGGGGGGGGCAGTCCTACAGCGCGGTGGGGCTGGGGGCTGCAGGGGGTGTGGGGCGGATCGGGAGCTGCAGGACAGGTTGGGGGCTGCAGGGGGTGTGGGGCAGATCCGAGTCTGCAGGGTGGGCTGCAGGGGGTGTGGGGCGGATCAGGGGTTGCAGGGCGGGCTGGGGGCTGCAGGAGGTGTGGGGCAGGCTGGGGGCTGCAGGGGACTGCAGGGGGTGTGGGGTGGGTTGGGGACTGAAAGGTGGGCTGGGGGCTGCAGGGGGTGTGGGGCAGATCGGGGTTGCAGGGTGGGCTGGGGGCTGCAGGAGGTGTGGGGCAGGCTGGGGGCTGCAGGGGACTGCAGGGGGTGTGGGGCAGGCTGGGGGCTGCAGGGGGTGTGGGGCAGGCTGGGGGCTGCAGGGTGGGCTGCAGGGAATGTGGGGCAGATCGGGGTTGCAGGGTGGGCTGGGGGCTGCAGGAGGTGTGGGGCAGGCTGGGGGCTGCAGGAGACTGCAGGGGGTGTGGGGTGGGTTGGGGACTGAAAGGTGGGCTGGGGGCTGCAGGGGGTGTGGGGCAGATTGGAGTCTGCAGGGTGGGCTGGGGGCTGCAGGGGGTGTGGGGCAGATTGGAGTCTGCAGGGTGGGCTGGGGGCTGCAGGAGGTGTGGGGTGGTCTGGGGGCTGCAGGGGACTGCAGGGGATGTGGGGTGGGCTGGGGGCTGCAGGGGGTGTGGGGCAGGCTGGGGGCTGCAGGGTGGGCTGCAGGGGATGTGGGGCAGATCGGGGTTGCAGGGTGGGCTGGGGGCTGCAGGGGGTGTGGGGCAGATCCAAGTCTGCAGGGTGGGCTGCAGGGGGTGTGGGGCGGATCAGGAGTTGCAGGGCAGGCTGGGGGCTGCAGGGGAGTGCAGGAGGTGTGGGGTGGGTTGGGGGCTGCAGGGGGTGTGGGGCAGGCTGGGGGCTGCAGCAGGCCGCCCATGGCGTGCGGCTGGGTGACGATGCCGTGCGACTGCAGGAGGAGGTGAAGGTGAAGATGAAGGAGCTGAACGAGCACATCGTGTGCTGCCTGTGCGCCGGGTATTTCATCGACGCCACCACCATCACCGAGTGCCTCCACACCTGTGAGTGCTGCGGGGCCGTGTGCTGACGTCCCCCTGCGCCCGGCCCGCCCCGCTCATCTTCCCTTCCCTGCCCTCAGTCTGCAAGAGCTGCATCGTGAAGTACCTGCAGACCAGCAAGTACTGCCCCATGTGCAACACCAAGATCCACGAGACGCAGCCGCTGCTCAACCTGAAGCTGGACCGCGTCATGCAGGACATCGTGTACAAGCTGGTGCCCGGCCTGCAGGAGAGTGAGTGGCTGGAGGGCACTTTGTGCTGCAGGGATGGGTGTCAGGAGCAGCCCTGCGCTCAGCGTCCCCCTGGCCGGGCTCTGAGTGACGGCGCAGCGGTTGTGATGAATGCAAAGCAATGCGGGGGGGGGGGGCTCCCGATCGGCCCCCCGTCACTCAGGATGGGGAAGGGGACGGCGCTGGGGACGCGTCTGGAAATGTCAGCTCGTTCCAGCACAGCGTGCGGGCGGAGGGGCTCTGAGTGCTGTCACGGAGGATGGGGACGTGCTTGTGTGGGAGCACAGGAGTTGCACAGGGTGGACCAGGGCCCTGCAGCCCGGAACGCAGGGAGGGGATCTGAGCGATGCTGAGAGCAGGGATGGGGGCCTGCAGGGCAGCTCGTGGTTTCTGCCAAGCATCCTTCAGAGCTGGGAGATGAGCGGGGGCAGCGAGGGGCCACCACACCACTGCTGGGCGCCTCGGGGGACGGATCGGCACCGCTCTCCTCTCGCCCCCAGGTGAAGAGAAGAGGATCCGGGAGTTCTACCAGTCCCGTGGCCTCGACCGGGTGACGCAGCCCAGCGGCGACGGTGGGTGGGGATGGGGATGGGGCGCGGGGGGGGCACGGGGACGGCAGCGGGGGGCTCACTGCTGCTCCCTTCCCCCAGACACGGTGGGGGGTGACCCCATGGGGCTGCCCTACAGCACTTTCGACCATTCCCGTGCCCACTACTTCCGCTACGACGAGCACGTCTCGCTGTGCCTGGAGAAGCAGAGGTGAGTGCCGTGGTTCTGCTGAGCTGCCTCTCGCTGTGGGGACGAGTGGAGAGCAGGAGAGGCACCGCAGCTCCCGTATCCCCCCCTTGTCTGCTCCCGCTGTTACCAGGCTGTAGGGCTGCGCAGCCCCCCTGCAAAGCTCTGCCCCCCCCCCCCCCAATCTCCCCTTCCTGGAGGGCTGAGCGTTAATAAATGCGGTGCAGGGCACCGAGCAGCTGCCTGCCGACTCCTGACAGCAAAGTCAATAAGCGGCAGCGCTGGGAGCTGTGCTGGGATCGATGGCTGCAGCTCAGCTGCCAGCTCAGCCACGTGCCTGCCCTGCTGCCACCCCGAGCGCCATGGGGAGCACGGGGCGCTCGGATCAGGGCGGCCCCCGCCTCCAGGGTGGGATGAGAGCCAGCGGGGCTGTGTGCCAGCTGTGCCCAGAGGGATGGCAGCGGGGTTATGGCCCCCGGGCTGCCCCTTCTCTTTGCTCCACAGCTCCAGCAAGGACAAGAGCAAGGCCGTTCTGCAGGTGAGCATCTGGGAACTGCGGGCTCTGCCCTGCGGCTGGCTGTGTGCTTTAGAGCACCCCCAGACCACGGCTTGGTGGGTCGTCCCGTGGCTGCTGCAGTCTTTGGACGTTTGGGGAGCAGCTCTGCCCCGCACAGCGCTGACCCTGCGCCCGTGGCTCTGCCCTTTGCAGCAGAAGTACGTGAGGTGCTCCGTGCGGGCGCAGATCCGGCACCTGCGGAGGGTCCTGTGCCACCGCCTGGGGCTGCCGCTGCAGCACGTGAGTGTGGGCCGGGCGGGGGGCGGCAGGGGGCGGGGAGCTCAGGCCGATGATGGCGCAGCCCTGCCCGCAGGTGCAGATCCTGTTCAACGGCGAGGCGCTCCCCGACCACATGACGATGAAGCAGCTCTGGCTCTCGCGCTGGTTTGGCAAGGTGGGCGTCGGGGGGGACCCCCACCCTGCAGCAAGGGGGGAGAGGGGCGGGGGCCGAGGCCGCGGAGCGGGGAGGTGCGCAGTCACGGATGATGGATGCCGCTGGCTGTAGCTGCGATCGGGTTGTGCTCGCGGTGGGGCAGCGGCTCTGTGCAGGACGGAGCTCGGCGGTGCTGCGGGTCAGAGGGGCGTCCCAGGAGGGGTGGGACAAGTTCATGGAGCACCGAGCGCAGCGCCCTGGGCCACAGGGGCAGGGAGCAGCGGGAGTGCTGGGGGGCAGGGAGTGAGGGGGGGAGATGCCGAGGGGGCAGGGAGTGAGGGGGAGGGCGCTGGGGGGCAGGGAGTGAAGCTGGGGGGTCGCTGCTGCCCTGACACCCCTTTCTCGCCCTGCAGCCTGCACCGCTCCTGCTGCACTACAGCATCAAGGACAAGAGGAGGTAGGGGCTGGGGGCGGGTGCTGCTCCCCCCCCGCAGCACAGCCCTGCTCCTGCCTCCCCCTCCCCCCCTTTAACTTAATGCCCCCTCCCGCTCAAGTTTATTTTTTGAATAAAACTGTTGAAAATCCATCACGCGTCCTTTGTGGGGAAGGGGGGGGTGGCACATATGAGGCTGGGGGTCCTGCTGGCTCCTCAGGGGGGAAGTTGGGGCAGCATCCCACTGAGTCCCCGCTCCACCCACACCTTCGATGTAGGGCTGCGGGGGGGTCGGCGCCCCTCAGTGTCAGTGTGGGGGGGGGGGGATACGGCACTGAGCCACAGGAGGCACCGCAGCTTCTGCCCAGGGGGGTGAGGGAACGGCGGTGGGGTGCAGCACCGTAGGGGGCGGGGGGGGTGATGCAGTGGGACGGGGTGCAGCAGCGCCCTTCGGACGTCAATAGTGCGGCTGCAAAGCGGACCGGGGAGATGCCGGGGGGGCTCATGGCCCGCAGCCCCCTCCCCTTCCCTCCCGCCCCCCGCCGCCCCTCTCGGCCGCGGCTCCGATCCATCACCGTCGCGGCCGCCTGGCGCACGGCCCGTCTCCCCCTCCGGTGCCAGAACGCCGTAGAGGAACGGCGGGGGGGGGGGGGTTCGGGGGGGCCGCACGGCTGTCGCCTCTGCCCCCCGCTGCCCGCGCACAATGAGCCGTAATGCAGCCACGGGCCCTCGGATCGCCCGCGCGGGGCGGCCCCCCCCCGCATCGCGCCTCATTACCGCTATGGCGGGGCAGCGCTCGCCGCCATCTGCGGCCGCCGGTGGGGGGCGAACGGGGGGGTGTTCAGCTGCCGGCGGGGAGCGGCGCGGGGCCGGGCGGGAGGAACAGGTGCCGGTGCCCCGAGAGCGACGGAGGCTGGGCGGCCGCCCGTCCCGGCCCGTCGGGGCACCGCAACGCCGGGGCCGCCCCCGCCCCGCTCTGACCCCGCGCCGCGGCGGGGGGATCCGGTTACCGGCGCGGCCGCCCCAGCTGTCGGCCATCCCTCACGCGGCCGCCGCGAAGGACGTGGGGAAATGCGGGCAAAAAGCGGCCGAGGGTGGGGAGGGGGGGGGGGCGACCCGGGGGGGGAGGAGGGGGGGGTCTCACCCAACGGGGAACGGGGCCGCGGGGTCGCGCTGGCGGCGGGGGCGCGGCGGGGCCGCCCGTGTCTGTCAGCAGCGGCTCTGGGGCCGCTCGCCCGGCGCGGAGCAGGAAGAGGAGCCCGGCGCTCCCCCGCACGTCCCGCGGCCCCACTTATCAGCGCGGGGCTTAATGCAAACCAACTGCGCGGGGGGAGAGGGCTGCTGGGGGCTGCGGAGCGGCGCTGCCGTCCCGTTGGGGTGCGGGGCCGCGGCGGAGCCCGGGGGTGCGGGATGGCACGGGGAGGCCCCGCACGGCACCCCGCAGTAACGGGGCGCGGGCCGGACGGTGCCGTCGGGCGGCTGCGAGCTGCGGTCACGGCGCTTTGATATCCCGCCCGCACGTCATGCTCCGAGGGGGCTTAATGGCACCGGCTCCAGCCCGGCACAGAGGAAACCTGAACCCCCCCCCGCCCCCCGTTCCGCCCGGCCCCAACCCGGGGCGCGGCGGGGGCCAGCAGCCCTGCGCGGAGATGCCGGCGCTGCCCCGGTGTTACAGGGCGGGAGGGGAACCCCGCTGCAGCGCCCCACGGCGCGGGGTGCTTGGGGGCGGGGAACCAAACCCAGAGGATCCGAGAGGGGGCCGGCGATGGGGCCGGGTGGGGATTTGGGGTCGGTGGCCACAGCCGCCCCTGTCGGTGACGCCGGGCTGGGCCGGGGGGGCGCACAGCGCCGGGGGGGGGGGGGGGGGTCCGGCAGTGCCGATCCCTGCGGATACAGACAGATCCCACCCGCATTTTGTTGGAGCAGGAAGGCTGAAGCTGTGGGGTTCGGCTCGATCTGTGATCTGAAGAGCACTACGGAGCCCCCGGTAAGGCGGCACGGAGCCCCATGAGGTCTGTGGAAGCTTTTTAATGGTCTCTGCTGAATCCTCGCTGTCTCAGAGCCCGCAGTGCGCGACCCCCCCAGCGCTCACCTCCACGGCCAGAGCTGCTCACACGTTCGGGCTGATCATCGCTGCAACCCTCGCCCTGCAACAGGGGACACACGAGAAAGAAAAAGAGAAATACACGGAGATGTACGAGTATAGAGACAGACCTCAAGGGGCTTTTTTGTTTCTTTGTTTTTTAAAGCAGCCTCTCGCCTTCCTCCTCACCCCCTGCTGCGCCGGGACCGGGCTGAGGGCGCAGCTTCATCCTGCCCACCTCCAGCACTGCGAGCAGGAGGGGCTGCAGCACCCACAGACCCCCCCGGCATCCCTACAAATCACAGAGGAGCCGGGCTGGGCAGGCTTGGAAAAGCCAAGGGAACCCAGGGCCAGCGACCAGCCGCAAGCAGCGCAGTCAGAGCCCAGCAGCCCCCCACAAAAGCGGGAGCCAACAGCCCCGCGGCATTGAAGAAGCTTTGGGGCAGCACCCAGCCCTCGGTACCGACGGGGCACAGCTGGGCCCGCAGCCAGCCCCACAGTCACTGCTTCGTTAGCGTGGCTGGGCCTCGTTAGGGGCAGCCCGGGGCTCTGACGGCAGCCCCAAAAGCTTTGGGGTCGGTTCACCCGGACGTGGGTGTCCCCACACGTGTCCCACTGCGGGGCTGTGGGCGTCACCTCACCGTATGGGATTAAGGGTGAGGGGTGCAGGACGTGGGGATGCTGCGGGCAAAGGGAGGGGGAGGGATTTGGGGCGGTCCTGAGCGGCGCCGGAGTTGGACTCGGTGATCCTCGGGGGTCTCCCAGCCCGGGATATTCGGTGATTCTGTGCCATCACCGCTCCCTGTGAACCACGGCTGTGGGAACCCCCCCCTGCCGCCCCCCTCCCCGCCATCTCTGCGCTCGCTGCCCCTTCCCTGCAGCACGGCGGGCGGTTGAAGGGTGCTGAGCGGGTCCTGCGGGGCTCCGGGGCGGCTGTGGGGCCGCAGGGCCTCCAACAAAGACCTCACGCAATGCATTCGGGAGCCCCTCAGACCCCGTCCCACCGCCCCGTGCTACAGGAGGGCTCAGGACCGGGCCCCTCGCTGCTTCCGCGGCTCGCGGTGCTGGCGCTGCTGCGCCTCCCCGCACGGCCCCGCACCGCCGGCCCGGCTGCCCGCACGCACCGCCGCACACAGCGGGGTTGGCGGCGCCTCCTGCGGGCCGACGGGGGCAGAGCGGAGCGACGGGGTGCGCGGGGGGGAGAAAAGGAGGGGGGTAACGGGGCCGCCCCTCTCGCATCCCGCACGGCGGCCCACCCCGCGCGCACGCGTGGAGGCGCGGACATCCCCCGCGGGCACCCGGCTGTCACGGGGGGAATGAGCTGTCACGTCGGAGCGGCGAAATTACCCCGTAACGAGGCGCGCCGCAGATCGGGCTAATGAGAAAATCAAAACACAATTTAATTCCTGTCACCGCCTGATCGTCTTTAAACGACGCCGAACGGTTCCGGCGGTTCCGCACGCTGTGCCGCGATCCCCCGCGCTGCGCCCGGCCCGGGGGTCCCGTCCGGCCCCGCGGAGTTTCCCCGCCCGCTTCCCCGGGATGTGGGCACGGGGTTGGCACCGGGACGCCGTGGGAATGCGGGGCGGGGGGGAGGGGGGGGCACCTTCCTGCGGACGGAGGGGCAGCGCAGCCCCGTGGGACGCGGGCGCAGAGCGTGGGAATGCGGCTCCGAGCTCTCACGGCACGCGGCGTCAGCGCGGAGTGGTGGCACCCCGAACCTCCCGGCCCCCCCCCCCACCCCGGCCCGGGCTGGGACCCCCGACCCGGCTGGGAACGAACCCCGGAATTGCGGGCAGGGGGGCGGGGAGGGCTGGAAACGGGGCTCCTGGACCGGCACCTCCGGGCCCCTCTCTCCCAGCTCCGCGCGGGAGCTCCGGGGGGGGCGGGAGGGCACCCCCTCACCTTCCCCGGTTTATCTTGGACGGCGGCGTTTCCTCCGGCTCTTTGTTTGCTCGGCCGCCCCGCCCTGCCTTCCTGCGTGCCGCCGGGCGCGGGGGGGGGGCGGGGGGATACGCGTCGGGACGCCGCAGGGCCGCCGCCCCGGAGAGCCTCACCGGGCTCCGATGGCAGCGAACGCCGCTGCGCTCCGCACCGCCAGCCCCGCGCACACAGCGGGGACACGCGGGGCGCACCGGGACTGCGCACATTGCAGTGCGCACGGATGCGCACGCGGGACGCACGCAGGCGCGGAAGATGCGGGGTGCGCGTAGGGTCGGCTGCCACCCACCGCCCCAACGCCCCGCGCCGCGGCTCTGGACCCGCCGACCCCCGTCGTTGTGGCCACGGCCCTTTGAAGTTGGCGAGACTTCCTGCCCCGAGGTTTTATGGCCCGATCTGTCTGCGCCGCGCGCTTCCCTCGCCCGTAAATCATTCGACACGAGGGGGGGTCGGGGCGGTGAGCCCCGGTCCCGCAGAGGGCACCGCCGGGCCCCGCGCTGCCGTGCGAGCCGCCCGGTGCCGGGGTCCGAGCCCCGGAGATGGGGTCTGGAGCCCTGAGCTGCGGGACACGCGGGCAACTCCCGCGTGGGGCACGGGGAGACCCCGCCTGTCCCCCCCTGCGGGCACGGAGAGGGGCCGTCAGCGCCCGGCCCGGGGCAGGCGGGGGGGCGAAGACTCGGGCAGCGCTGAACGAGGGGCCGTTGGGGACGCGCAGGTAGCGGTGAGCGCCGTGCGGGGCTCGGAACCCGCCGAGGTGCTGTGCGGTGGGATCGGGGCGGCCCCGCAGGCTCCCCCCGACCCGGGCCCGACGCTTCCGCGGTGACTCAGCGCGGGGGGCTCCCGGCTCGGTTACCTTCGCTATTCAGAGCGTTTCCTGGGTTTATTGTCTGCCCCTCTCGTCCCACCTTCCCCGCAGGAAGCCCCGTCCCAACGGAACGGCTCATGCCCAGCAGGACGGCGCTCCGGGCGGCGAGGGGACGCGGGGACAGAGCCCGCAGCTCCGCTCCCAGCCTCCCCCACCCCCGGCATCGCGCCGGGATGTTCTTCCCACGGGCAGCTCCGGCCCCACACGGGGTCCGGCCGC